TTTGGGTGATTAGTGCTGCAGTCCCTAAGCTGACCCAAAGGTTTCAACGTACTTTTTATCCTCACAGCAACTTTAGAAGTGATCCCTACTTCAGTCTTCATTATATGTGTAAGGAGCCAAAACCCAGAGAGGTAAAAATCATTAGTTGACATGAGAAGTCTGTGAGGAAAAGGGCTCTGCCAAGTTTATTTCTGATTTATCTTCTGCCCCTCTTACTAGGCTGCTTAGATGAATTACTGTGTGATATCTGTGTTCCCATTTAGAGGATCCATTAAGTGAACAAGCAACTGGAAAATTAAGAGGTTGATGAATCTGCTCTCTAAACTCTTCTATAGGGCTTGACGTACTTCAGATGCTTGACCACATATAGATTGCACAAATCTGTCTTAATAATGACATTCTTACCCTGTCAACAGCAAAAGCCTGTGGTTACTTGCTTCGTTTCACTGATTTTAAGTTCCTCCTTTCCAATTCTCTTTTTGGTTTGTTTTGGGGTTTTTTTTGTGTTTTTTGGCAGCACATACAACTATTTGGGCCGACAAACCAATCTGATGTTGGAAGCCTTTGCAAAGCCAGACCTTGCCTTGGCACGGAAGTATCAGGTACAGCATCTTCCCTGGCCCCACTGGGAGCAACTTCGAGCTTTACTGGGGTGGTTTTCTGTCCTGACGAGGGAAGAAAGAAACCCTCAATATGAGAATCAGCAAGCTTCGTTTATTGATTATTGCTAACAGCTTAATATATGCTTTATAATTAACTCATACATATTGCAAAAGCTAAGCTCATTATTGGTTCTGCTTAAATGTTGATCTCACCTCTTACTCCCTCCTTATGTTGACACAGGTGGCTCTTAGATGCCTTTTGTTTTGCTAATCACAACGTCCTGTTTACCAGCCAATTAGCACTTACAAAGACACTGTGGCCTTGCTATCTCAGATCTTCTCACGGCCTAGGCAAACCGTGTTCTATAGCCAATTCCCTACAGTTTTCCATCTGGGTTTGTCATCCATACCCTGAGGTAGCTTTATTAAAGGAAAATTCTTCCAGCTCCGTCCCCCCTGCTTGTTACTCATCCCTGCTCAGCTTTTTGACCAGTCCTTACTAACTTTTATCTAAGATCTGCCTCACTTACCCTTCAACTCTCTAATCTCATCCATGCAGGTGAGTCTTTTTCCTTGAACAAACCCGTGGGGAGCAAGCCCCTTGACTAGGAATATTCTGGGGGTAGCCATGATGTAGGGCAGAAAGCTGTCCTAAACAGCTCTGCCTTCACCCCTCTTGGTCTTGGGCAGCTTGGAGATTTATGGGGAGTTCTGAGCCATCAGTGCACAATCTGTACCCAATGTTTTTATGGGACATTTGAGGCATCCCTCCCCTATTCCAATGGAATTCAATTAGTATTTCCCATAGACTGGCCCAGTGGCCAAGGGCTTTTCTCAAAGCTGGGCTACAGTTGTATAAAATATAGATATCATAATATCTCTAGATGCTTTTACACCTTCAAACTTGAAGGTGTTAATAAACTACTGTTGGTCTTTTCTAGTTTCTCACTGGGGAGTTTCTCAACTTTGTCATCAAACTGGGTAAGTAAACTGGGTAATCACTGCCCGTTTCACTCGTTATGTCTAAAAATGTGGACTTGGTGCTCCTGAAACTCTCATGTTGCTGCACTCTTGGAACTTCCTTCCTGAAAGATTTCACAGTGAAAAACTGTTGCATCTGCTGTTTCCCAACTTAGCAGCAGCTGAAGCTGGGCAAAGGGAGCTGACCAAGCATCCCTGACTGATTCCACTCTCCCTTCCTTCCTTCTGCTGTGAAATCTCACAGATTTAAAGCTAGGACTCTGTGATTTACCCTTTTTCTTACCCTGACTCTTTCTGTGGGTTGTTTTTTTGTTAGGTTTTTTTTTTCCTTCTGTCTCCAAAAGCTCATTTCTTTATTTCTACAGTCATTTTTCTGAGACAGTGGTGCCCAAGGAGGAAAACAGCTCTGATACTTCTCTCTCCTGCCTTGCTGTAATTTAAGAGGAACTTTGTTGAAGGCTGTACAAGGCCAAAACATTTTAAAATTGAATGATTTTTAGAAACAAAATCAAGATTAAATACAAAAAGCAATTAAAACCAACCAAGTCAGAGTCGTGTAGGGAGACTGAATCAGACATGAAATGTTCAAATTAAATTAAATCAGATACTTAATGAAGTGTTCACTGTGCGTTTGCTGGGATATGCAAACCCTGCTTAATGTAGCTGAGCTTTAGTGCTTGATCTTATTTCTTGGGTTCAAAGTCAGAGGAATTGCATTATTTTTTAGCCTTATAGATAAGGAGGCAAATACTGAATTTCCAGAGCTATGGACAAGGAGCAGGATGTTACTACTCCCAGGGTTTGCCTTTGCAAGAATCTGCACTGGGGCTGCCTATATATAAATAAATGTAGTGAGCAGGTGTAATTTTTACTGTAATGCCTTTCCTGTCTGCAAGCACAGCTCCCTCTTCTTAGTTACGCTGTTCTTGCTTCCAAGAAATACTTGAAGCCTGGTTGATGCTGGATTACCCAGGAAATCCATGCTGCTGCTTTTTTTGGCACCTGTGTCAAGGCTGCTTTAAGCAAGGTGGTCTGCAAATGCCCTGATTTTGCTTTTATCTGCCCAGGTTTTGGTGTTGCACAGACTAAAGCTGTAATGACTTTTGTTTCTGGCATTCCCATGGGACCTCCACGGCTTCCGCTCCTTGGTGCCTCTGAGGAGTTCATTGCCAAGGCCAAAGCCAAGCTGGACAGCATTGTGTGGCCTGATGGTAACTGATCACACAGAATCTGGGAATCACTGAGGTTGGAAAAGACCTCTAAAATCTAGTCCAACCATTAACCTGACACTCCTGGGTCCAACCCTGAGCCACATCCCCAAGTGCCACATCTGTTCACTTCCACGTGGATCTGGAGGTTCCTTTGCTGGGATTCTCTGCCATGTGGCACATTCCCCACATGCTGGGCTGGGATTTCTTTCCGGGAATTGGCAAAGTGCCCAAGTGCCTTCCTGCTGGGGCTGGCTTTGCTGGGGCACATGTGGCCCAACACTTTACACTGTTCCTCTGGAGCTCTGCACATTCCAGGTCTAGCTGGTACCTTTTAATAAAAAAAATAGCAAATTTTCCTCAGTTGGAGGGGCTGACTCCTTTTGCCTAGAAAGGAGGAAGATCTGGCTCCACCCTCCCTCCAGCTGGATGATGTTTTGTCTTCTCCATGAGCACTACACTGTGTTTAAACAACAGTATGGCACCGTCAGATTGCTCAGACTGGTATCTGTTTGTCAGAGTCACTGGGATACTGTCTGTGCATGTAAAATCCTGCTTTTGTCTGATCTCTTTGTGTTCATACACCTTAATGCAAAATTAAAAAAACATCCCTTTTGCAATAGCAAGCTTTGGCTTTCTAAGAAGCAGCTATTTCTCCATTTGTTTTCCTTATGTCAGGAACAAAGCCACAACTGAGCTGTGCATCTCTATATCCCAGTGCAGAATGCTGTCTGGCAGGTTAGGAAGTCAGAGAATCAGAATCACAGAATGGTTTGGGTGGGAAGGGACCATAAAGCCCATCCAGTCCCACCCTCTGCCATGGGCAGGGACACCTTCCACTGTCCTTCCACCAAGCCCTGTCCAACCTGACCTTGGACACTTCCGGGGATCCAGGGGCAGCCACAGCTTCTCTGGGCAACCTGTGCCAGGGCCTGCCCACCCTCACAGGGAACAATTCCTTTCCAATATCCCATCTAACCCTGACCTGTGGCAGTGGGAAGCCATTCCCTGTGTTCTGTCCCTCCATCCCTTGTCCCACGTCCCTCTCCAGCTCTCCTGGAGCCCCTTTAGGCCCTGGAAGGGGCTCTAAAGTCTCCCTGGAGCCTTCTCTTCTCCAGGTGAATTCCCCTAGCATTCCCAGCCTGGTTCCAGAGCAGAGGGGCTCCAGCCCTCGGAGCATCTCCATGGAATCCCAGAACTGTTAGGGTTGGAAGGGACTTCTGGAGATCACCCAGTCCAACCCCCCTGCCAGGGCAGGGTCAGCTGGATCAGGTGGGTTTGGGATGTCTCCAGCGAGGGAGGCTTCTGGCGCTCCCCGGGCGCTGTTCCCGGCTCTGCCCCTCACGGACAGCCGTTCCCCGCTGAGGGGCGGGGCTGTGCCCGCCCCGCCGGGCCCTTCCCGGCCGCCGTCCCGCCGGGCCCGCCCAGGCGCTGCCGCTGCCGGGCGGTGTGCCCCGGAGCCTCAGGGAGCCCCCCGGACCCTCACGGAGCCCCGGCCCGCCCGGCCATGGGGGACGTGAAGAACTACCTGTACGCCTGGTGCGGCAGGCGGAGGGTCATGCCGGCCTACGAGATCCGCGCCGCCGGCGGCCGCGGCCGCCAGACCTTCCTGTGCGAGGTGCGGGCCTGCCCCGCCGGGTTCGGGCCACAAGGGCTGTGCGGGGACCCTGAGGGGTCTCTGTGGTCCTGCCGGGGGGTAGGGTCCGTGACGGGCATCTGGGGGCTCCGAGCGGGTCCGGTGTCCTTCCGAGGGTCTGGGAGGCCCCGCCGGGGGTCTGGGGTCCCTGCCTGTGTCCTGGGGGTGTTGTCGGGGGCTTGGGGGCCGTGCCGGGGGTCTGGGCTCGCTGCCGGGAAGGACCTGGAGCTGTGCCGGGGGTCTGGGGATGTTGCCGGGGGGCAGGTGACAGGGGACCCTGCCGAGGGTCTGGGGGCCGTGACGGGGGTCTGGGCTCTGCCAATGTGGGGGCTCTGCCGGGGAACCCGGGACCCTGCTGGGGTCTGGAGTCTGTGACAGGGACCTGGGGACCCTGCCGGTGCAGGCTTGGGGCTTTGCCAGAGCGAACCTGGGGCCAGAGCAGGGGGCCTGGGGTCGCTGCCGGGGATCTGGGGGCTCTGCCAGGGTGGTCGGGGGTCCTGCCCGGCCCGGAGGGGGTTCACTGGGAGCCGAGGGCTCAGGGAGGGCTCACAGTCCCGGCTTCGTGTGCGTGGTGTGAGGGGAGGGGCAGGAGGGAAGCAGCCGGAAGGATGCTGCTACAGGGAAAAGGAATCGGTTTTCTTAAGGGTGATGAGTGTCTGCACGCCGTGTGTGTGGTCCTTCTTGCACTTAAAATAGCTGTGTGTCACCTTTGCAGAGAGGTTTGGCCTGCGGTTGAACTTGAGATGAAACGTACCAAAGAATTCCTGCTGGAGTGGCTCCTAGGCTAGGCTGTAACAGTACTCTGCTCCTGGCTCCGGATAGTGTGGATGTGGGAGCTGTGAGTTCAGGCTGGCTCTGAGGACGAGCTGGCAGTGAGTGTGCAGGATGGGTCAGTTTCTGAGCTGGGCCATGGATTTACACTAAACACCTTGAATTTGTCATTTTACCCTTCCTTCCTGTTTGTCTTCCCTGTCAATACCAAAACTGAGAAGCACAGTGATATTAAACCAGTTTTCAAGGTGTTTTAACTGAGATTGAGCATTACTCAGATGGAGTGGGTTTATGTGCAGTTAGATTAACAGAATCCCAGAATGGTTTGGGTGGGAAGGGACCATAAAGCCCATCCAGTCCCACCCCCTGCCATGGACAGGGACACCTTCCACTAGCCCAGGTTGCTCCAAGGCCCGTCCAACCTGGCCTTAGACACTTCAGGGATGGGGCAGCCACAGCTTCTCTGGGCAACCTGTGCCAGGGCCTCACCACCCTCCCAGCCAAGAATTCCTTCCCAATATCCCAGCTAAACCTACTCGCTGTCAGTTTAAATCCATTCCCTCTTGCCTGTCTCTCCATGCTCTTGTGAAAACTAATATATAGAAACTAATATATGTATTCTATATTATACAATATACGTATATTCTTGTTCTGGTTTTTGTATGTTGATGCCCTGTGAGCATCCATGGAAACTTAACAGGTGGAAGGATCAGTCTCATGAAAACATTCTTTCTTGCTGATTTCCACAGTCTGGCTGTGAATCCAGTGCAGTTATTGGTTGGTTGGAGGTATCATTGTCCAGGACATAGAATTGCTGCTCTAAAGTAAAAAAATCACAAATTAATCACATGTTTTTATCTGCAAGAATGTGAAGCTAAGCTTGAAGGAACACTGGCTCACTCCTGTCCTAGTTGTCCAAGGGTTTGGGATTATGGTTGAAGAAGGTGATCCTGGGCAGGGTTTGCTGCTGTGTGTTGCCAGGATCCCTTCCTACATTGATTCATCTTTTTCCACAAGGTTTTTGGAAGCACTTGTGCTCTGAGAATGGAAGTTTTCAGAGAGAGTGAGAGTCTCTTTAGTAGGCACAAAGAATACAGTCAAACCCTGCAGAAATATATGGCTATGTCTAGTGATACATAACAACACTTAGCGACATTATTTCTGCTGTATTTATGAGCAAGCAGACTTTGGTGTTTCAGCCAGTGCTGCTGGTTTGCAGGCCCCTCTCACCCACCCAGCTGTGTGTTGTTCCCTTCAGGTCCGAGTGGAAGGGTTCAACTACGTGGGCATGGGCAACTCCACCAACAAGAAGGACGCACAGAGCAACGCTGCCCGAGACTTCATCAACTACCTGGTGCGGGTGAACGAGATGAAGAAGGATGAAGTCCCTGCTTTTGGAGTAAGCTGCTCTTTCTCCTTGCCAAAGCCTGACCTTTCTTGGCAGTGGGATGCTCCCAGTTGTGTTTCACTCAGGAGTTCAGTCCCCTGTACAACGATGAGGATTGAGTGTGAGGGACTTGTGCTTGCAGTGCTGGAAAGCTGGGATACATGCAGAATATCAGGGTAGAAAAGATCCTTAAGACCATCGAGTCCAACTGAATGTTGTGGGATGATCTGGGTCCATGCGTGTTAAGCTGCAAAGCTGATGAGGCTGGAAAGAACTCAGAGTCCCTGTGAGGTGCAGCCTGACTTTAAAAGTGCTGAGTACTCACACCTGACACTGGGAATTGTTTTAGATACATATTATAATATATATATATGCACAATCCTGTGTACTTAAAAAAAATTACAACAAAAAAATAATAATCACAAATACCTCAAACCAGACATTGAAAATTTGACATTTTTTAAACCATAACTGCTTGTAGCCACAGCTCCTCAGGTATGTGACAGGATCTCTGCTTTTTATGATGTTGTATGAACCATCAGCAATGACTAGCACATAAAGGCTGAGGAGGAGGGTAACTCTGTCATTGCAACAATTTTAGAGAAAAAAATAAAGTAAATAAAGCATGAAGTTATGTGTTATCTGTTGGGAAGGAAGACAATAATTCTGTTTTCTCAGCTTTCTTGCCTCTTTAGCCCGGGTGAAACCCAGAGTGGGAACAGAACTGATATTTAGGTTTAGATGTGCCAGTTCACGGCAATTCAGTGTTCAAACACCTGTAGTTGTGTTCCTTTCAGTTTTTAAAGGGTGTTACTATTGCGGTTGCTACTGGGTAGTAACTATTGCATATTTACTGGGGATAACTATTGTGTAATGTTGCCTGAGCTCTTTAAACTGCCTGACCAGTTTTGAGCTGAACAATAAGACTTATTCTGTACCAGTGTGGTGAGGTTTTCCTTCCTTCCCTTCTCTAGCCAGCCCCAGGTGACACCCCCGATGGAGCACAGGAAGCAGCTAGAGATGTCACTGGTTCCAGTTCAGCTCTGGGAGGACCCCTTCCTCCACATTTGCTTTTAAAAGGTGAAGTAGGTAAGGCTGAAAACTGTAATTTGTGTGTATTTGGATGTATTTGGGTGGTGATTTTTCTCCCAAATACTCTGCAGACAGGAGACATAGTTTTGGGACAGAGGTGTGAATGACTGTGAGGTCTGAGGGACTGGTCATGGCCTATGAGATTGCCAGGAAATGCCTCTCCATTGCTGAGAATATGTTTTGGGGGGGTTATTTTATTTTTGGTTTTGTCCACGTGATAGGCAATGGCCCAGGTGCAGCACCTGGAAACTGTGGCAGTCGTGGAGCTCAGTGGGATCAGGGTGCGAATTTGCAAGATTATTATTCAAGGAAAGAGGAGCAAGAAGGTCAGGAGGTAAGTCGTACTATGGAATTCTCCTTTAATTCTTAAACAGGTATCTATTTCACCCCCTTTAATTTGTTATTTGCATTTGTAATCAAACTTGGAGTTTTCATTTGATATTTTGCTGTTGATTTTAGCTTAAGCTGCAGATTTACTCACTGGCTTTTAACAAAGGTAATTTGCTTAAGCTAGGAACAAGATAAATCACTCTGGATACTGTGAACATCCAAGTGTTTGTACAGACATTTTGTTGTGAAAATAAGGAATTACTGAGGACTCTCTAGCATTTTCTGTAATGCCTCAATTATTTTATAGAATCTGGGTGAGTTATTTGAAAGACTTGTTGTAAGAATGTTTAAAACTAGTAAATGATATTCTTCTTTTCTGTATTAGACCTCAGAGTCAGAAGTGGACTTAAATGCTGACCTTCATGGGGGTTGGACCTTGGAAAATGCCAAGGCACGTCTGAACCAGTTTTTCCAAAAGGAGAAGATCCAGGAAGAATATAAATACACTGAAATGGGGCCTGATCACAACAGGTTTGGTAGTTTTAGTCACTGTCTGTGTGCAAAGGGTTTGGTGACAGTGGCTGTTCACACTTATTTTTAGTGCTCCACAGTGTTCTTAGCCAGGACCAAAACATCCCTAAATTTGCTTATGTAGAAATGTGCTTTAAGGACATTTTATTTCTCTTTGTATTACAGTTAACGTTTTTGACACTGGAATCTTCTACTGGAAAAATTAGTTTGGCAGAATTTTCCCAAAGGAGTTTTGAGGGTTTCACTTGAGACCAGCTGGATATTACTCTTTCTTGACTTTCAGCCCATTCCATCAGAGAATTTGCATGTGTTTCCCCAAATGGAAATAACTCATAGCAGATTGTGCATAAAGAATTGATGGGTTTTATTACTTTACCCCTGGAAACAGTCTCTACAAATCATCAAAACTTCAGGACATTGTATTTCTGGTGAAATATGGTGATGCTTTGTGGCCAGAAACAATGGCACGCTGCTGCTGCTGGATTCTCCTGGCTGGGTCCGAGGTTGGGTTTTTTGCATTGTATAAATTTGTGTTCTATGAGAGTTGATGTTTTTAGAAAGACAAGAGAATTTTCTTTTTACAGCCTTTCATGAGAGTCTCACTTGCAGGACTTCTGGTATTCTTTTGTTGAGACTCCCAAGCATTTAGAATATCTAAAATGTTTGTATCGGTGCAGAAAGCTGTAAATTCTCATTTAAAACTTGTCTTCAAGTCACTTCATCTCCATTTATGTCTCTCAGGCAAGGCCATGTCTTTCCCTTAAATGTGAGTGACAAAAAGTTAGTTTGTGCAGTGCTAGGAATTTAAAATATGCTTGTTGTAGGCTTAGTTTCTGAGCGTTTCTTTTCTCCTGTAGCTTAGGGAATTTTTGTGCAGCTCGTTTTGTTGCACGTTGTGCAGGTAAAGGCATGAAAGCCCGTGTATTTTAATGTAGATAGTCTGGAGCAGAATGAGATGACTACAGATGACAGTATGTTTCTCAGCCTGGCTCTTGTTCTTCCAGAGGGCATTTCAGAGTTTCCTGTTTACTGTTTATCCAGGGAAGGTTTTGTGAGTTTCCCTGGATGGAATGGCAGAAGGGGGAATTCACTACCTGCTGTAACATCTAATTAACAATCCTAATGTGTTTTAGGTCTTGTTAAGAGAGAGCAAACTGTTGGAGTCAATCCTTTTGGGTGTGTGCAACAGGAGGGGGATAACTTCAGATGTTTTGGAGTTTTGAGGATGGTTATATAGCTTAGGTAGGGGTTTTATTTAAGAAATACCAGTTGCCATGCATCCTGCCAGTCCATTTTTGGGCTTTTTGAGTAATGATCAGAGATATTAATTATAAAAGAATTATAACAGATCTGTCAGCCTTGCTCTCAGACATTTGTGGTCAATTAATCACATTCATGGTCTAAGAACTTAGTAATAACTGGGAAATTTGGATTCAGAAACTTTAATAATGTCAGGAGGGTATGTGTTGTAAATCTAAACATGGCTCTCCTAAAACACAAAGCAAGAACTCAACATTAAGGGGTGGGATGTGGCTCCTCCATGTTGGGATTCCAGCAGAAGCATGGGATGCCTTCGCCTCCTCCTGTTCCTGCTGGAGAGCGACACCACAGATCTGTGCACGCTCACACGGCTGGACTAGGGAATCATGTGGGACTCTGCTGCAAACTGATTTCTGGTGTTGCTGTTCTCCCCTCAGGTGGAGGAGAATGAGATTGAATGCTGACTGTAGGCCTGGCTGAGAAACATACTGTCATCGGTGTCTTAGGTGGCCGTTGTGTCCCTGAGAGCCAGTGGCCTTCGACCCCTGAAGCCACTGTGCCTGAAGGTCAGTTCGCTGGTAGCACAGGAAGGAGCTCTAACCTGAAATTTAAAACACTCACTTAACCTTTCTTATTGTTTGTTTGCAGCAAGAAATGAAGGACACGGGTGCAAGGCTCTGCCTGCAGCTGGGCAAGTGCCAAGGCCTAGTTTCCAAAGAGGATCTCAGTCTAATAAAGCCCAGTTCCATGTCTTGAGTCACATTTGCCAGGTTAAATCCTGTCTCACAAGAATTTGGCTTTAATTTTTCATCTGGCAAACACAGGCTTAGGTCTGGGGTTCTTAAAAACGCGAATCTGGTTTCCATCCCCCTCTGTTGAAGATTATGTTTCTCTTTAAGCCTAAATTCTTTACTCAGAGACTGGTGAGGCCCTGGCACAGGTTGCCCAGAGAAGCTGTGGCTGCCCCTGGATCCCTGGAAGTGTCCAAGGCCAGGTTGGACGGGGCTTGGAGCAACCTGGGCTAGTGGAAGGTGTCCTGCCCATGGCAGGGGGTGGGACTGGATGAGCTTTAAGGTCTCATCCCACCCAAACTATTCCATGATCCTATGATTCTGTGATCAGTATACCAGTTGACCTTTAAACAAACTGGTCCCATGCCTACTAAGCAAACTATTAGGTTTGCTACGCAGTGTTACCTCGAGGAACTCTGTTACTCGAGTAACAAGTTGCTCAGTAAGTTGCTCAGTAACAAGTTGCTCTGCTGTTCCCAGATTATGGCAATAAGGGAATGGAAATTCATGCAAATTCAAGTATTCTGTCTCCTCCTGTGCAGATAAGTTCAGTGGTCTGTGACTGAATGACCTGGTTTGGTTTTGGCTGTGCTCTGGGCTGGCCAATCATGTGGTAAAAAGCAGAGTAGCTGTATCAAATGGTGCATCTGAGTTGTGAAACACAGGTTACTAGTGAGTTACTAGTGTTATACTAGTATCTAATCACTAGTGTGATTAGTGATTAGATCTAATCTAATAATCGTGTGATTAGATCATCTAATCACTAATGTGGGATACAGTTAATGGTACAGTAGGGTGCACATTAATGTTACATTAATGTCCTACCTGCTTTATAATTGTTTCCTTAAACTTGGACAGCTCAGAACATATTTCCTAATAATAAGGCTTTAAATTTCAATGCTGAACAGTGGCATTTGCAGGATTCTTCTTATCAAATCTACTGGTTCTGTTGATGACAGGTGTGTTACAGACTAATTTGGGGTTAAAGGGACTAAAAGCAGTAATATTTTACCTTGGTCACTGATGAGTTGACAATTTCTAACTGAGGACAGAGGTGTCTTTGCCTAGAAATATTGGAAAGAGTGAATATGTTTGCAGTGTCAGCTACTGGTAATTGTACCTTTGTGTTGTTTCTCTTGCAGGAGCTTTAACGCAGAAATGACCATTTATGTGAAGCAGCTGGACAGAAGTAAGTGTTCCTATTTAGTTTTTAACTTACCAAGAGGAAGGTGTTGGTACGGAGGAATGTTTATGGGTACAGACTTTATCATAGTTACGTGTTGGAGCCACTTCCAGAGGTGAGGGATCCTCTGTGTGATGCTGCTGGATGGTATTGGATAATCATGCACACTGAGTGCGGGAAGACTTCACGGGACTTGTCAGTAAGTAACATCACACAGCCAGTGTGAGGCAGCTGCTGGAGGGGGCTGTTGGATTTTAGGTTGAAACTCTGGATTTATGAAGATTTGAAACTTCCCTGTGTGTACAATCAGAGAGTTTGTTTCAGAGTAGTATCTTCTGTGGAAACTGTGTGACTGATGGGCTCCTGCAGCTCTGACTTCTGTGTGCCACAGGGATCTTCAGCCGCGAGCACGGGTCCAACAAAAAGCTGGCAGCACAGTCCTGTGCCCTCTCCCTGGTCAGGCAGCTCTACCACCTCGGGGTCATCGAGCCTTACTCTGGGCAGACAAAGAAGAAAGGAGAGTCGGTGAGTTTGGGAGGAGGGGCCGGAATTACTGCTTTCCTTTCATGACACAGAAGCACTGCCATAAACACGAGTGAGTTAGAGTCTGCTCTCCATATTTTAACATCTTACAAGTTATTGATTTTGTTTCTTTAGTTTAGCAGCTGTTTCTGTTCTGGCCAGTGATTTGGATCAGAAATATAACTCCATGGGTATGCGAATGGAGCAGTAACTAATTTTAAATGAAAAAGTATTTGTAACAAACGCTTTTTTCAGTAAAATGTTTCTACAAGTTTAAGTATTTCTGTTTATGCGCAGCTGTTTGGATTCATTCTCTGACACATGAGCATTTGCTGAGTATTCAAATTTCTCTCTCTCTATATATATGCACACACCAAATAATATGTATTATTTAGGTGTTTGGTAGCAACTTTGAGAATGTGTTCCTCCGAAATGAAATTCGAATATTTAAAAATAATCTACAGTTTCTTATTTGATGAAAAGTCACCAAAACATTTCAAGAATATGAATTTTGAACTGATGATACTCTTTGGCCCTGTTTGATGGTTCAGCCCACAGTTCTGGCTCCCACAGTCTGTCTTTTTGTGTATATTGATGTGTAGTTTTTCAATATTTCCTAGCTGGAACCCTATGAGGTGTCACTGTCTCCTGACTTAGAAAATCAGCTGCAAAAGACTGTCCGGGAGCTGTCCCTGGAGATTGTGCCTTCGGTGAGTGTGTGGCTGAGATACTCCAGTGTGTAACATCACACCTGCTCGTTTAAAGCATTCACCTCTCTTTGCCCTCTCTGCTTTTGGAATTATAGCCTGAAGATCCCAGTAATCCAGTTCTGATCAACGTCAGAAAGTTGGCCCAATTCGAACCATCACAGAGACAAAGTCACACAGGAGTTGTTCCCTGGTCACCACCTCATTCCAACTGGAACCCTTGGACTGGCTGCAATATTGATGAGGGTCCTCTGGCAAATGTAAGGTTAACTTAAAAAATTGATTTGTTGATTGTTTTCCCTGTACTTCCAGAACTTTTAAATGCTTTTCCCCCCAGGATTTAAAGTATAAGCTATTCCAAAGGAGAAAACAGTCCACTGATAAAATTTCTTCCCTTTTTGACCTGGAGGCAGGGAATTCTTTGTGTTTACTTTGTGTTTCACTAGGTATTGAGCAGCAGTGTCTTGAGTGTCCCAATTTTCTGCTTTGTTTCACTTTTTACTTCCCACTCTGCAGCCCATACAAAGCTTATAATTGAAATTACAAGGTAAGATCACGGACATCTCATTTATAACTCCTTAGCTTCTCTTTCCCATATTTCCATGCTAGGACTTTTTTCTGGGAGAAGAAACTGCTCCATGCCAAGTGTCATTACACAATCAGCCAAATTTCCTATTTTTTGTCATTTCTAGTCCCATTCAGCACGGAACAAATGTAAAGCAACAATGTGGCATGGTAGAATGAGGGAGAAGGGGAAAATTACTGGGTTGTCAAATTCGGAGGGTAATTTGGTCTGGCTGGTATAACCTGGTAAGAAAAGACTCTCAGGGCAAGAACTTGAGTTTCCTACAACAGAGAATCAGAGTGTGTATGGCCAAACCAGTAATTTAATACTTTCTTTCACTTGATAAATGACATCAATTTAACATTGATCATTATGTATTGACTTTTAAAAAATACGGAGCTGATGTAGATTTGGGTGTTGTTTTAAACACATAAGCAGGATATGTGCGGACATTGCAAATTGAGCTGACTTCAAATCTCATCAGTGCTAGTCGTGGTGCACAAACTTATTTGCAGCAAAAGCAGTTTGCCCTTTGGTAACAAATTTGAGTTTCTTTGCAATTCTTTGGTAGTTGAAATACAGGAGTTGCCTGATGAATTTCCTTCTCTGTTCACTTCTCCCTTTTCAGCTGCTGTTCTGTGGGTGGTTTTGTGCTTACATTAGTTCATTCCTTACATTAAAAACTCCTGTCTGAATGATCATCTCATTGGCTTCCTGCTGACTAGAGTGTGTTTTTCAAGCAGTTAAAGTGTTTCAATTTAAGCAATTGTTCTTTTCAAGTGTTTTGGATCTTTTTGAGAAACTTCTTTGAGGATGAACATTTAATTTTAATATGCTGGAATGAATGACATTAAATAGCTCATCGATGTAACTGATTTCAGGGAGTTATGTAGGAAATGATGACATTTGGGATGATTATGTTGGAGTGCCTGATTTGATATTGAAGTTAGGATGTAGATAAGGAGTCAAAAAGCCTCCAAACAATGTCTTGTACTTGCAGCTCACTCCAGAGCAAATAAGCATGGATCTGAAAAGTGATTTCATGTACCGTCTGGAGCAGGATCAGGAATTACAGAGGGTAAGTGTGCTTCCTGTGACATACTGTGCTTGCACTAGTCCCTTTTTCTTCCAGAAGGGGTTGAACATAATGTTTACAAAGCGTGTAAGGCTGGATTTCAGCAGAAATACACGTTTTCAGAAGGACTGGATGTTCCACTGGGAGGGGTGTGGGGATGTGTTGTGCTGTGTCAGGAAAAAATACAAACTGTTATCTGTTCTTCCAAAGTTTTTCCTTTGTATAAGGGAAAAGTGTAGAAAAGGGAGGCAGGGTATGGATGTGGAGCAGAACAGGTTGATTTCTGGAGGTTTTGGAAATGTGCTGGGGTTTTTTTTCCAGATCCAAGAAGAGAGAGAGGCCTTACCTGTGAAGAATTTTGAGAGTGAAATTCTGGATACAGTCCGTCAGAACTCTGTTGTTGTCATCCGTGGTGCCACTGGTTGTGGCAAAACCACCCAGGTGCCCCAGTACATCCTGGATGAACACATCAGAACCGGCCGGGCTGCCGAGTGCAACATCGTGGTGACGCAGGTGGGGATGAGTGACCAGTGCACTTCTGGGGTGGATATGAGAAATCACAGGTCAGTTAGGACAGAATCACAGGATGCTCTGGGTGGGAAGGGATCGTAAAACTCATCTCATTCCAACCTCTGCCATGGGCCGGGACACCTTCCACTATCCCAGGTTGCTCCAAGCCCTGTCCAGCCCGGCCTTAAATGGTTGAAGGATGTGCTGAGGAACCTGATTATCATTGCAGGACATCGTTCATAAAGGTTTCTCCTCAGTAATACAAGTAGGAGAAACCTCAGCACTATGTATGTCTTCATTTGGAGTCTTATTCTTTCACAGATCTTCAATTTGGATAATCTGACTTGTACCTTTCCCGGGCGAAAACTTTTCGTCAGGCTGAGGGGAAAAGATTTGGCAAATGCCAGCTGGTAGTTCCCATGTATCCTCATATCCCTGCTCTGTGATTTCATATGTAGAATTAACCATTTCAGAAGAAAAAAACATGTCGTTACACACACTGGCGTTTAATGATTACTGCGTGAAGAAATCTGAGGGCAGGACACCTGTAGCACTTCTGATTTACTTTCTTGCTTTCAGTGCTGTTGTGATAAAGTTCTGTAAGCTGATCATTAAGTCAGGGCACCCTTTCCCCCCCAGCCCCGGCGGATCAGCGCGGTGTCGGTGGCAGAGCGCGTGTCCTACGAGCGGGGAGAGGAGCCGGGGCAGAGCTGCGGGTACAGCGTGCGCTTCGAGTCCGTGCTGCCTCGGCCCCACGCCAGCATCATGTTCTGCACCGTGGGTCTGTACTGCTTTGCTACCTCTGCAGCTCATTCCTTATGGGTCCACACTCTGAGTTAGCAGCAAAAGCAGGGGTGTGGTTCGGTTAAAATTTGTAGGAAGCCTGTTTCAGAGATTGAAAAGGGTTTTTCTGGGTACAAGTTTGCTGATGTGCTGTCGTGCAGAGAAAAATTAAGGCTGTTATTCAGAAGTCTGGTAATACAGGTCTGATAGCACACAGAAATTATCCCATGAAGAGGTAAAATTGCCATATGATTGTCCTTAAAAGACAGAAGGGGAGGCAGCACTGGGTGGGAAGGGTGAAAGAGTCTTTCAGGTGGTAATGCTTCATGCCCTTGCTGTCACTTGTACAGATGAAGGCCTGGCAATTAGAGATGGGTTGGAAAAGGGGCTGGGCAGCCTGCACACTTCCTGGTTTTTAAACCAGGGGCTGAGAGGGGGAAGATTGCTCTGTTACAGGAACATTTACCTGATGTGGCTTTTTCAGGTGTGCTTCTGAGAAAGGTGGAGACTGGGATCCGTGGCATTAGCCATGTTATTGTTGATGAGATCCATGAGAGAGACATTAATGTGAGTGAGCTGCTGACTGCAGTCCTGATCTCTCTGTGCTACTGTTTAACTTGTGGATGTGTTTGTGTGTAGTAGCCAACATGTGAGAGCAAACTGTGTCTTACTAAGGGACATATATGTCAGTTTTCCATCCTCAATAATGTTTTTAGAAGCTCTTAATTACTCCTTACCTGATTAGCAGAGCAAGGACTTGTGCTTCCTTGCTGCCCTCTTTTTGCCTGTTAGCATCTCCAGTGTCCTGGTCCCCTCTGGAGAACAGAACACCACGGCACAAGCACATCTTGTCCAAACAGGAGAGCACACTAAATTGCACTGTTACTCTGCAGTTCTGTTCCTACTGACAGTGTTGTATTACTGGTGATATTTTACAGACCCTGCAGTAGAAGTAGGGGAGGGATTGAATGTTATTTAAGAAATGGGAAACATTTTCTGTCCCCTTGATTATTCTGTATCATTTTCAGCCTTGCCACAATGAGAGTGAGAGCAAGCACAAAGTTCTGACAGGATATTTAAGCTTGTTTGGACAGAATTTGGGGTCTCCTTTGGGTGGAATTGCAATGCACATTTTTCTCTTCATCAATTAATTTTATGTTAATGATGTAAAATACAAGTTTTGAAATTTTGCCTGAGATAGGAATTATACCTTTGGAACAAAGGGCCTGCCTAACTGCATGGCAAAACTAAATAAATGTCATGTTTAAACAGAACTATAAACTTCACATACACCTGCACATTTTTATTTATTTATGAACTGTAGCTACTTTATGTGTAAACCAAGTCTATAAAGACCTGAGGTTGTAATGTATTGTTAGGAAGGAAGCAGACTACTTTTAGACTACCTTCTTTACACTGGAAATCCTAAAATTCACTTACCCCAGGAATTGCAGTAATTTCAAAATAAGGCACTGAGAACAGTTTCTGGTTACAGAATGTTTTTATACTACTTGTTACTTCTCTTGTCTAGTAAAACTCCTGTTCAGTAAATGTGTATGTCTGTGTAGTTCCTTCTGGTCTCTTGGGAAGATATTGTTTTTTATGAGTAGCAAGTTAATGACTCTTTTATTCTCCTTGTGTGTAGACTGACTTCCTTTTGGTGGTGCTGAGGGATGTCATTCAGGCCTACCCTGAAATCAGGGTTGTCCTCATGTCTGCCACCATTGACACTAGTATGTTCTGTGAATACTTCTTCAACTGTCCCATCATCGAGGTCTACGGCAGAACCTTTCCTGTCCAAGGTAAACCATTGGTTGCACCTCCAGCAACTGCTTTACTTTTTGTTTTGTTCATACTCTGAAACATCCCAGTTACGTCAGGAGACTCTGGAGAGATGATGAGAAGAATTATTACACAGGTTTCTGGCAGTCAGTCCTGATCACCTGTCTGTCCTTGCAGATTATTTTCTGGAAGATTGTATTCAAATGACTCAGTTTGTTCCTCCACCAAAGGAGAAGAAGAAGAAAGAGAAGGATGAAGAAAGTGGTGAAGATGATGACGTATGTTTGACCTTTTTCCATATGAAAAATTGAACAAGTGCCAGTTTTAGGGCTCTGACTCAAGTGTAATTCATGTGGCATTGTTGAACTAAAACACTTGTAGCAGCTTTCCTATTTTTAATCTCTGATTCAGCAATACAACTTAGTTTTCCCATTGCCCTTCTAAACTGAAGAATTTCTTTTTCACTGAAGCCAAAGTTCTCGTGTTTTGTCAATCTACTTCTCTTTAAAGCTAGAACTGAAATGGTTTTGAAAATGAAAAGATTGGTGACCTTGGAAGAAGAAACAGGGAAGCATGAGCTTGGTGATACCTTTTCAGGGTGAAAATTTAGATTCTTTCCCTTCTTTGCTTGCAGTTGATGTTGTCAGTGCTCACATACATTGTCACTTCTGTAGCTTTTAATTTGTAGATTTGAAACTTCTGTTTAGGCCAGTCATTTGAAATTTTTAAAAGATGGCCAGTTTTTCTTGAGAGACAACTACCCACATATCTCATTTTCCTGTGTGCCTGGCCAGCCACTCCCTATAGTTTGAGTGAATTAATTTATATGATTTTTTTTTTGGTAGGCCAATTGCAACCTTATTTGCAGTGATGAATATGGCCCCGAAACAAAGCACTCCATGGCTCAGCTGAACGAGAGAGAAACCTCTTTTGAGCTCATTGAGGCCCTGCTGATTTATATCAAGACTCTGAATGTCCCAGGAGCTGTCCTTGTTTTCTTGCCTGGCTGGAATTTGATCTATACAATGCAGAAGCATCTAGAAATGAACCCACGCTTTGGTATAAGCAACTGTTTTATTATTTTTCATCTTTTCCGAAGGAAACTATTGGCTGTGCGAGGATGGGAGTTGGATGAGAGGCTTAGGGAGCTAATTTGTTGTGGAAGTGAATGAGCAGAAATTTTTATGTTGTGCAAAGAAGAAATGAGAGTCACATAGTAGTAGTTACCAACCTTCTTGTATTCCTGTTGTAGGAGGCCACCAGTACAGGATTTTACCTCTGCATTCCCAAATTCCTCTGGAAGAACAACGTCGAGTGTTTGATCCCGTGCCTCCCGGAGTGACTAAAGTAAGGGAGCCTTCTCTGTGTGCAGCTCTGGGCTTTTGTGGAATGTATTGCTGAATTTTTTATTTAAGTTCTGTAGTTTATTTTGCTGTTCATCCTCAGCTATTCCAGACCAATAACGTCACTTTGCAATTCCTGGTTTTTACAGATTATTTTATCCACCAGCATTGCCGAGACCAGCATTACCATCAACGACGTGGTCTTTGTTATTGACTCCTGCAAGTGAGTTCATGAAGCAGCTTTTTGTTTTGTAAATCCTACCCCTGGGAATGCAGAAAACGTTCTGGGAGCGCACAGAGGTGCCTTGTGTTCTCATGCTCCCAGAGCTGAGCGTGAGGACTCTAACTCAGGACAAATTAGCATTGTCTTCAGCCGGTCAGCACAGTGACACACCATGCTGGCATCTCAGTGGGCTGGGTTGGTCATGGTGGCACTATTCATGTGAGGTGTCAATGGGTCTCCACGCCAATTTGATGGATGCCATCTGCCAGATGAGTGTTACAAACCCTCAGTGTCTGTCTGATGGAAAAGAGGGAAGATTTTTGTAGTCTCCTACAGATCCTGCCTTGCTGGGCATGTTCTCTGAGCAAAGTGCACCCGAGGAGCTCATGATTTTAAGATAATTTTAAGCTTTTGAGGCAGTTGTGAGAACATCATTCTGTGTGTGGCTTGGGGCATTGCTTTATAAAGAGTGATGCTTTAGCTTCCAGATCCATGCCTAACTAACCAAAGCTCAGCTACTCAGACAGGGTGGCTGGCTTCTTAAGCAATGTGACTTTGAGCAATAAAATAAAAACTGATTTGGCAGGACATAAGGTGAAGAACTTCTGATCTTAAGTGTTTTTTTCCCCCGGAACAGGCAAAAAGTGAAGCTGTTCACAGCTCACAACAACATGACAAACTATGCCACGGTCTGGGCATCCAAAACCAACCTGGAGCAGCGCAAAGGCAGAGCTGGGCGTGTGCGGTCTGGGTTCTGCTTCCACCTGTGCAGCAGAGCTCGCTTTGAGAGGTGAGGCCGTGCTCTGCAGGGACAAAATACCCCCAGACTGCTGTGTGCTGCTCTGGTCACACTGCGGAAATCACTGCAGAAGGCACAGAGAGATGTGTGATGTCAGCTCACACCGAAATATCGCAGTTCTTTGGCTAAAAAAATGTACCTATTCGTAATGCTTTCACCCATAGTATGAGGTGGATAAGTAGCTGATGATTTTACCAGTAAGAGCTTCACTGCAACCTACAGAACCTCTCAGGGGAAAAATAATACTGCTTGGGAATTGAGGCAAGGCAGAAAAGAGCTTTGTAGTGAGGATGAGGCTCTAGTCTGCCTGCAAACATTGAGGGCACCTGGCCTCTCCACATAACAGTCAATTCTGTCATGGAAGTGGCAAAAAGCAGGGAAAGCAGATGTTGCTTTTCTCTGCATCCCCTTCCATGGCCAGGAAGCCCCTTCATGCTCCGCTAGCACCTTCCCTGCAGCTGAAACTTTTGACCTCTTCTCTCTGCCAAGCTGTTTCTCCGTTACTAGAGCCATGGAAATCTCTTTGCTGATTGGAAAAGTCTACACAGCTGTTACACTCTATGTTTGATCTCTCTCATGAAAGTTCCAGTGCCCCTTTCTCTGGCTGTTAGAGCATAACTGTTTTGATGTTCAACTTTTTGTAACCTCTGAAAGCATCAGTTGATCAAAAGCTCTCCTTGAATTGCTCAAATTTATTTAGACCTGCTGTCGAGTACAGTGGAGTGATTTTAATTAACAATTTTTGACAGGGACCTGATTTTGGGCTACTGAAGTAATCATGGGACTTCATGATTTTAAAGTTACCTTCCTTGAAAGAATATAAACCCAAAATATACTAGTTCCGTGGTGCCTTGGAAAGGGTTTGTGGACTTGTGAAGATAATCTTTTGAGAGATACCGTCTAAATCTGGTGCCAGTTGAACCTGGATATCTGTTCAAGGTGTTTGAAACCTTTTTTAGCTGCCTGTTGCTGAGTGCAGTCATTCCCTGGACTTCATATTTCAACCAGCAAGCTGAAGGATCACAAAGGATCACTATGCTAAAGACTTGAGAGCTCTGTGTGTTTCCATTAGGTCTTTTTTCCTACCAAAAAATTACCTTTGGAAAACATCCAGCAGAAATACTTAATCTTTTCAGTGATCAGAGAAGTGTGTGCAGGAGGAGTGGGTGGTTTGGAGTTGATGGTCCCCCAACAAGGTAGAGAAGTGCTTGTACAAAAGGGCTGCAAGCAGGTTGTCTCTCAGGAGTGGAAGAGGAGATGATGGTAAGGGATGTATAGGGCTGGACACAGCCATGCTGGGAATGGGGCTCCAGCCATGCAGGCTCCGTGTGGTCAGCTTGTGGTAGAAGCCACAGCGGGCAGTGGGGATGTGAGGGCTACACCCTATGTGCATTCCCAGTGCAGATTTAGCCCAGAGGAGAATGGAGAAGCATGGAATTTTCTAGTAGAAGGGCCCAGGCTCCAGGAGCACAGAGAGAGCCGTGGGTTGGCTCAGGGGCTTTGGAGGGCAGTAGTTTGTGCTGGTGCAATGACCCCTCGTGGTGATCAAAGCCTGTGCTCAGTGAAACGTGCCCTTCTTTGTTCTCTTCTCATCCCAGACTGCAGACTCACATGACACCCGAAATGTTCCGGACGCCACTGCACGAGATCGCTCTGAGCATCAAACTGCTGCGGCTGGGCGGCATCGGGCAGTTCCTGGCCAAGGCCATCGAGCCGCCGCCCCTGGACGCGGTGATCGAGGCGGAGCGCACGCTCAGAGGTACCTGGGCTGCCCCCGGGCTGTTCCTGGAGCTGTGTTCCCTGTGTCCCAGTGCTTTTCCGTGTCCCTGCTCACTGAGCAAGGCTGCACCTCCCCTGCTGGGCTGTGTGAGCAGCACACGCTGTGGGACACTCCGAGGTGTTTCCTGGAGGCACCGTGTGGGTGGCAGTGGCTTGTGCAGCTGAAGAAATACTTGAATTCCCAAGTGGAGGGTCATTCCTTTGAGAAACTTGAGCCTTCAAACTCGAGGCTTGTTTTTTTGTTTCGCCAGTAACTTATGTTAGCTTCCAGCTTCCTGTTTTCCAGCTGTGGCACTGCTGTGTGCAGCATAGACTCAGTCCAGTGCCTGAGGCATTCACAAAGCTGCTGTAAAAGCACTGAAAAAGAGAGGTTGCTAGTTCATTTTATAATTACTGCTTTGTACAGTTTGCTGACCCAAGATCCGATATTCTCAGGTAATTAAATCTCCAGTTTATAAATCTGCATAAAAAGCCAGGAGAAACTGAGGTGGGAGTTGAGCTGTCTCCCCACTTTTTTCGAGGAACTAACTAGAATATGAATAAAATGGGGCAGGGAGGAACCTTAAATTTATGCTTTAGATATAAAGCAGTGATGTCAAACCTCAGCATACTTTGCAAATGTCAGTAAATAAGCACTTCTTAAAATTTTTAACAACTGAAATATCTGCTTGATTGTATACAAGGGGGCGACCAGAATGAAAAACAGAGCTGGGGATAGGTATTCAAGTTTAATGACTTTCTGGTCTAAAATAGTAAGTGCTTTTCTCACTGTGTAGATAAGAAGTGCAGAGCCAGGGGAAAAGGCAAATGTTTTCAGCTCTAACACCAAGTAGCTGTTTCTGCAGGTGCCTCCCTCTCCTGGATGACCTGTGATTTTTCAGTGCAGGTACACTGCTAGTACATTTTCAGGAAGGTGAGATGTTACTCTTCAGAGTATTCTTTAGGCTTTTGGGTTCAATAGGTGCCAAGAAAAAATGGATTTGATGGTGGCTAAGGAGTCCTTTATGTGTTTCCTTTCCTGTTTAATTGCTGAGGCTACAAAGCTTTTTTTTTTTTTAATGTAAAAAAACTCCTGATAGCTTTGAGGATGAATACAGGTGATGATTTGTAGGTAATGGAAGGGGGAAAAGGCAGGTAAAGCCTCGTGGAAGAGAGAGTTTGTGGCGGTCTCTTTTTGAGTGTGCTGGTTTAAAAGTTAACCAGCAGGGGAAATGAACTCAACTCAAAAGAGAGATTATAAGTCAGAATAACAATTTAATAAAATAATACAATAAGTACAATTATACAGACAAACAATTGGTCTTAACCCACAAAACCCAAATGTATGACCCAGCACCCTGGGGCATGAACAAAGTGGTGTTCCTTGGGCCCCGCTTGAGTCCAAAGTAAAGGGAGAGGGGAGAAACCTGCTGGTGGGAGAGCTGTTGCAGTCTGGTCAGAAGCGGTGATTGCAGTCCAGTTGAGGGTGGTGGTCTCAGTCTGGTTGAGAGCGACGAGCTGCAGTCTTCCTCCGGATCCCACGAGTGGTAAAAAGGTTCCAAAACTCCAAGTTTATATATCCTCCAGTTCAGGCAGGAATGCTCAGTCCTTCCCTCAGAGCGGGGAATTCCATAAAAGGGTGTGAGGACAGGAACATCTTCCTATCTCACAGGCCTCTTAACACCCAGTTTATAGCCTGAGGAGTCAGGCTGCTCTGGGCAGAGGGTGTAAATGCTCTATTGATAACAGTTTCTGGGAAATGGCATGGAAGGCTATAGAATACACAGTTTTGGGTTACACCCATCCAGTGATGAATTGGTCCCAGCTGTTCTAACTAGGACATTGAGGAAGAGAATTCTGTGATCTGGCAGCAGCAATGAAGGCTCCACAGTTGGCTGTGATTAGATCAAATATAGGGACTTGAAGAAAGTTTAGCAATGTAATGGTGGTTTGTACAGAAACCAACTGAAAAAGGAATGGAAAAACACGTATGTGAATTAAATAGTGATTATTTTAACTGTGGAGGAGGTAGGAAAACATCTGTAAAGCTAAAGTAAAATCTATCTGACCTTAGTACAGTTTTGAAAATCAGGTTGGCAGTATTGTAAACAACATTAAACTTAAGTACAGGTGGGGTTCTATTTAAACACACAGAAACTCTGCATTTCTTATCTAAGGCTTTCTGGGACTAGTTAACCCCCTTTGATCAGAAGGCATCTTCTTTCAGAGCTGGATGCCCTGGATTCCAACGATGAGTTGACACCTCTTGGAAGAATCCTGGCCAAGCTTCCCATTGAGCCTCGTCTGGGCAAGATGATGATCATGGGCTGCATTTTTTAGTAAGTTGAGTACTCATCTCAGTGTCTTGTTCTTGTTTTTCTGAGTTCCTGAGCCTCTTGACATGCACTGTATGAGAGAAAAAACAATATATCTAGATGAGCAATAAGTGCTGCAGCTGGGGAGAGCAGACTGAATATTCATGGGAGCAGAGGAGTAGGGAATGAAGTAGTTATGAAACTGAGAGTTCACTGCAACAGATCAGTGGAGCCTGAATATTTATGAATTAAGAGTGGGACTGGAAACACTTAAGTATAACCGTGAACTAGAGGTGGGGAGACATGGAAGTTGGCACTGAGGTAAGGATTAAAATGAATCCCCAGGTTTTGCTTTGTCATTGTGATGGCTGCAGGGTCCTTTTCACCTAAAGAAGGTGGTGTGTGGGATGGGGGGAGGGGAGGGAAGATAGACCTGATTTAACATCCACTTCCAGAGAAGTGTTTCAGTGAAGAACTCTGGTAGATAAGGGCGAGATTACTGAGGTCTGTAGCAGAGAAGCTGCACTGCTACCAGCAGCCTGCAGCAGGTGCTGCAGCAGGAACTGAATGACCCTGATCCCTTCTGTGGCTCCTTTCAGCGTGGGAGATGCTGTTTGTACCATCTCTGCTGCCACCTGTTTCCCTGAGCCCTTCATCAATGAGGGCAAACGCCTGGGTTATGTCCATAGGAATTTTGCTGGGACCAGGTACTCGGATCACGTGGCTTTGCTCTCTGTCTTCCAGGCCTGGGACGATGCAAGGTACGTTGTCTGGCGCAGCTGCTGAGGGGGAGTCGTGGGTAACACAGTGTGAGCTTTCCCCTTCCCTGACCAGACTTGTAATTCCCTCTGTTTGCTTTTCAGAATGGGTGGTGAAGAAGCAGAGAAGAGGTTTTGTGAGCACAAAAGACTCAGCATGGCCACTCTTAGAATGACTTGGGAAGCAAAAGTCCAGCTGAAAGACATACTTATTAGTTCTGGCTTCCCTGAAGGTGATTCTACTTGGACACAGTGATTTAAGAATTTGCATTTTTCATTCTGAGATGATAAATAAATAAGCAGGATAGTCTGTGTTGAACACACAAGCACAGAGGGTTTAGTGGATTTGCCATAACACTGCTCTGTGTTGGAGTTTTGGTGCTGTCTCCTAAAGCAGAGAAGCTGTGATGGCTGTGGTGCAACACAGGTTGGTTTTGAAGGCTGAGGTTAGGGCTGCAGGATTGAAAATCTATTAAGCAGCTGTCCTTAGAGTGTTACCTCCCTGGTTTTCTTTCTCCTTCACTCTTACATCTCCAGAATGTGCTGTACTTCTCCCCTCCTTTCCTTTAGCCTGAGCAGGGAGTCTGTGTGAGCTGAACAGTGTTGTGTTCCCTGTGACTCCTGCTGCAGGAGGGATGTGCAGCAGTGTGCCAAATTATTCCATTTTCTAGGAAAAAATAAAATAAAATTCTTAAACTTGACCAGGTTCTGAATTGGCCAAATGTTGCTGAGGAGCTCAGTCTGGTTGGATTTAGTAGATGTTTATCTCTCCTTTTTTTTTTTTTTTTTTTTTTAAATTCCTTTAATTTTTTTCTCCTCACGCTGCTTGGATCACTGCTGCATTTACCCTTAACTTTCTTTCTGGGCAAGATGACCTGAAAACAAGCTCCCAGAGACTCTGGGGAGGTTTGTAACAAATAAACTAATAAAAGCATCCATTCTGACCTCCCCCTGAAGTTCTGTCTCCAGAACAAATGACAGTAAACACACTGTGGTACAGCACATTCTGGGCAACCCCCTCTCTCCTTGTTTATGAAGAGTTTGGGAAAAAAAAATACCTCCTTGTTAGCAGTATTTTTCAGCTTTTTGCTCTCCATTAAGAAATTAAAAGTTGAATGTAGAGCTGAAATGCTCTGAGCACAGAGGTCATTGGGGAGCAGATGCACCTCTACCAGTGGACTGAATCAGAAAATGCATTGGTCCAGGATCCTAAACAGCCCTGCTCTGATCCAGGATCCTAAACAGCTCTGCTGTGCTCTCCTCCATGTCCTGTGGATTTGAGCCACTCCTCTGTTCTCTGCCAACAGAGTGTTTGATGACTCAGCCATTCAACAACACTGGCCCAGATAATAACCTGGATGTTGTCATCTCCCTGCTGGCTTTTGGGGTCTACCCCAACGTCTGCTACCACAAGGAGAAAAGGAAAATTCTTACCACGGAGGGGCACAACGCTCTCATCCACAAATCATCTGTCAACTGCCCTTTCAGCAGCCAGGACATCAAGTATCCATCACCCTTCTTCGTTTTTGGAGAAAAGGTAAAGCTTTTGGGTTTGTTCTTGATCACGTGCTGCCAGATTGTTCAAGAGGCTCTTCTTGGTAAAGAAACCATAAGGAAAAAACCTGACTGTGCAATATTTAGCTTGTTTTTTGGGGAGGGGCTGTTTGTTGGTTGGTTTGTTTTCCAGAAAGTGAACTTTATGTGGTCCTGGTGTCACTCAGCCTCCCAGGAGCTTCAAGTCAACCACATCCAGTAGAAAGTTCCTGTGAGTTTTGTGACAACAGCCAGATCACAGAGAGGAATCTAAACGATTACCTTCTTTCAGAGTTTGTTTTGGGAGCTCTTCCTTGCTCATCAGGCACCAGAGAATTTTTACCCTTATCACTTCTGCTACTTATGAATCCAGGGAGAAAAGAGGGGCATGAAATATGGCAGTGGGGTGCTCCTGTTTCATCCTGAAGGTAGTTTGTCATCTGCCGAGGGCAATTCCCATTTCCCAAGCATCTCTTAAGAACCCCAGGATGCTTTCCCCAGGGTCCCCAGGATGTGCTCCTCCATCCCCTGGATCTGGTGTACTCAGCACGTACCTACATGTCTCTAGAAGCCCTGTGAGATCTCCTGTGCTCCAGTGATGGCCTCCATGAGCTCAGCTGCTCCTGCTCACCCGTATTTGTAGGAGCAAACAAAGGCAATGCTTTTATGTTTGGTAACAAATGAAATTTTAAACCCTTTGGGCACTGGCTGGGATCTTGCCTTGATAATCTGGATTCTCACATCCGTAGTTCAGAGCTGTGGTGAGGCTTTGCCCCTCTTCACTCTCTGTGTCAGGATCCCAGGAGGGTCAGACCTTCAATCCCCCTCGACCATCTCTCTAAATTGAGCTTCCCTGAAAACACTGAAAGACTTTTGAGCTCAAAAAGCTTTGCTTTATTAAACCAACATACACATGGCAAACGAGGGGTGACTAAGGTAGTGGCTGAGCAGTGGCTATGGCAGCAGCTGGGTGAGGCTGGGGGGCAGGAGGGGTTTGTGTGCAGCTCTCTCCCTGCCCAGGAGGTACCTGCTGAAGGGAAGTTCCTCTCTGAGGTGTGGTTGTCCATTTGCTGCTGCACTTGGCATCCTCTGTCTCACCAGGAACTTCAGGGCTCTGCACCGGCCGTTTCCTTGCCACAGTTTTTATTCTGGAAGTTTCTCTCTTTTGAGTGTGTGTGGTGACTTCCAGGTAGGAGCAGATCTTCTCCCTGAGGACAAACAAGTACAACAGATTCTGCTGTGTGAAAGAAGGAGGGAGAGAGGAGCTGTCAGGGTGGGAGGCTGAAATCTAAAGTGCTGCTCTTCTGTTCCTCTTTAAAGTGAGGGGCAGGAGCTGGGTAGTCAGGGCTGTTATCTCTGGCTCAGGTCAGAAATCCAAGTGCTCACTTCGAGTTCAAGCTTAAGGTCTTGTTTCTATAAAATGAGAAAGCAGGCTGGCACACTTGCACGAGTAGGACTCTACTGAAGCAGCTTTTCATCACAGCCCCAGCAATGCAAAAGGTGGGAAGATAATTCAGCTGTGCCTTGGTCATTTTTAGGCTGGCAAAGCATGAGATGGCTCTTGCTAAACCCCAGCTTCATAACTGCAGACACAGAAGATGAGTATTTCTAAATAGCTGTTGGGGTTTGATGGGTTTTTTTACACCAGCCAGTACAGAAACACTCCAAACATCAGCCTGGCATTAAATTTTGTTTGTGCACTTGCTCTCGTAATCTCCTAACATTATACGTAGATTTTTTCGTGTGTTGTTGGGTGGGGTTTTTTTCACAAAACTCTCCAGTTTCAGTGTCCAGGGGAAGGTAAGGATCCATTTTCCATTTCAAGAGTTGTTTTCCTCTCTCACCTGCAGATTCGAACACGAGCCATCTCTGCCAAAACCATGACCTTGGTGAGCCCACTGCAGCTGCTCCTCTTTGCCTCCAAGAAAGTCCTGTCAGATGGGGAGCTCATTCTGGTGGATGACTGGTATGGACCTCCTTGGTGCTCAGCATCATGGAATGGTTTGGGTTGGAAGGGACCTTAAAGCCCATCCAGTTCCAAGCCCCCTGACTGAGGGGGAGTGTCAGTTCTGTGGACAAAAATATCCCTAGAACAGGGACCCCAGAGCAGGCCCTGCACCACAGGTGTGTTGGGAAGGCATCACCTTTGTTTCCTGTGAGGAAGGGAGGGGTTTATTGGAGCTCTGTTCCATGCAGATTATCTGCTTCAGCTGAAAACAGGACACCAGCCAGTTTCCATAAAAACTGCTGGGTTTTTCCTCTTTAACTGGAAGGTGAATAAGAGGTATGAGGAGTTTTGGGCCTCCACTTCAGACAGAGGCTGAGGAAACCTTGTTTTCAAGTCTTGGAAACAGCTTGAGGAGAGCAGTGATTGCCTCTGGCACTGTAAATTTTGTGGCCATGACCAAATACCATCTGGGTGTCTTTTTGTTCTTTCATTTTTCCCCCCTGGTTGGTGAAATGGAGGCAAAGAAATGCTTAACCTTAATTCACTAGCATTTTTGAGGGTGGCCTGGAGCTTTCAAAATCTTGGAGCCTCATGTTCTTAGTTCACTTTTTATTTTTGTATCTTTCTGTTTTGATGCAAGAAGTTACATATTGATATTATTTGAGTATAGAATGACAGAGTCCCAGAATGGTTTGGGTTGGAAGGGACTTTAAAGCTCATCTCAGGTGGACACCTTCCACTAGCCCAGGTTGCTCCAAGCCCCGTCCAACCTGGCCTTGGACACTTCTAAGGATGGGGCAGCCACAGCTTCTCTGGGCAACCTGTGCCAGGGCCTCCCCACCATCCCAGGGAAGGATTTCTTCCAATATCCCATGTAACCCTGCCCTCTGGCAGTTTGATACCATTCCACCTTGTCCCGTAACTATCTGCCCGCATAAAAAGTCCCTCTCCCTCCTTTTTATAAGCCCTATTTAGGCACTGGAAGGGGCCCTAAGGTCTCCCTGGAGCCCGAGAAACTCCAGCTCTCCCAGCCTGTTTCCAGAGCAGAGGAGCTCCAGCCCTTGGAGCATCTCCAAGCATCCATGGCCCTTTGTTTTAATTCAAGAACAAATTTCGACAGAAGAATAGTTACATTTTAGCAATGTCAAATTTTAGGGATCTTTCAAATCTGGCCCTTCACTGGGGCCAATCTGCCCCAAATTAGAACTTCAGAGATGAGCCTGGTGGTTTGTGGCTCAAGGAGGAGCCGCTCCCGGGCCATCTTGGTGCCCGGCAGTGGGGGTGGCTCTGACCCTCCTCTGTGCCGCAGGATCAAGCTGCGGATGCCGCACATGCCGGCCGCCTGCATCACGGCCCTGCGCGCCGCCGTGGAGGCCCTGGTGGTGGAGGTGACCAAAGATCCCGCCATCATCCGGCAGCTGGACCCGGCACACGAGCGCATGCTGACCGTCATCCGGCAGCTCTCCAGGCCGGCGGCCGCGGGCATGGCCCTCCTGGCTGCCAACACAAGGTGAGCCCGGGGGCGGCGCAGGAGCCGCGGGCTTTGGCTCCTGGGTGTGTGGAATGCTCCCTGCAAAGCCTGGTGGGGACAGGGCACCACCTGTTTCCACAGGCAGGACACATGAATCTCGGCAATAAAAGCTTGTCATCACCTCTTTGCAAAACACTGTGACTTTTTAAAGAAAAGATAATCCAGATTTATTTTGGGCAAACCTATTTGTGGAAATAAATATTTGGCCGGGCTTGCACCCCTCGATCGCCCCTTGTTTTCATGTCTTGCTTCTGAAGCAGAGGAAAGCTTCCGAAGTAGAAAAGGTGTGGTTCCAACACTGTTCTGTTACAGAAACCAGAGGTGGCTCAGCTGAGGATCTTGGCAGTTCCTGCAGCCTTTAGGAAGCGGAATTTGTGAGGCTGTCTCAAGGCTCTGCTGTTTGTCGTTGCAGGTTCGGGGACGGCCCCCGCCCCCCCAAGATGACTCGCTACGACAACAGTGGCTCCAGGGGCTGGGGAGGCCCCCACAGGGGCCGAGGGTACGGCGGGTACGGATACTCTGGATACTCCGGCCGGCGCTCCAGAGCACGAGGATACGCAGGGAGCCCCTACGGAGGTGGAGGCGGCTATAGAGGAGCGGGAGGAGGGGGGTACCGAGGAGTGGGCGGGGGCTACCGGGGAGGCTACGGGGACCCGAGCAGGGCCGGCTGGTAGTGGTGGAAGTGCAGTGAAGTCTTTCCAGGGACTTCCTCTCCCAAATTCCTCTCTTCCTCTTCCCAGTCTGTTTGCCGTTTTGGTTCCTTAGTACCAGTACAGCTCTGTAACATATCATGCCCTTAGGGAACTTCCTGCAAGTTGTATGATTTTGTTCTTAATAAAGAGTTTGTTTGTAAAGACTTACATGCCATATGTTTGATTTTGGGTTTGGGTTTGGATTTTGGAGGCTTCTGTTGTTAATTGTGGTTGTTGGAGATATGAGGCATTCTGAGGAAACCTTTTCAGTGCCTAAAATCATTCTCTGCCAAGCAGATTCCAAATTACAGTTTGGGCTCAGTGGGGATTTCTCTTAGTTGTCTAATAAGCTGTGCAAATAGTATTGCTGCAGTGGTTTTCCAACCATGTCAGGCATGGTTGGTTCCTTTGCAGGCATCCGTGCTGTTACCCTTCATGGTGAGCTCTTTGGCTGATCCAGGTCTTGTGGGAGCATGGAATACCTTCTCCGAGACTGATGTAATGCTGCTGGTCTCTGCAGAACTTGGAGCGATCTCAGAAGCATGAACTGCTCCCTTCATCCAAGGCAGTGTGCATTGCCATTGCTTCTCCCAAACATTCCTGCACATCCATGTGGAGGAGAGCAGTTCTTTTATGGGAATGCATTGATTGCAGCCTGTGGATTCCAGGCAGTGGAAACTCACCGTCTCCCCATTAATCCCGCTGTGGGAGATGGTGGTGGGTGAAGTTTAAACAGGAGGCAAGAGATGGGTGCACAGTGAGGAAGGTGAAACAGGGTACCAGAGGTTATTAGGTATAGGTACAATATTTTGTGATATTAGCAAAAAATAGTTTTAGTGGGGTATTTCAGTGTTGTCCTAGCTAAAGAAATTCCCTTTTTAGAGTAAAGTTGATGTTTGTCAGGTCTATTGACAAAAATTACTCTAACTTGTAACTGTAAAGCTATTATTAACTATTACTGGGGAAACAAGACAAAAAAAGGTTACCATTAATGCCCCCCTGGCTGTGCTGGTTCTGGTACTGTTGCAGTGATGAATTCTGTAGCTCCCCAAGATGTCTGTGCCTCTTGGGCACAGCTCAACACCACAGCCCCATTCATCAACATGGAGATTAAATCTCATTGGTGTGATTCTTCTGGTGTCCTGTGCAGGGCCAGGACTTGGGCTCGATGATCCCTGTAGGTGCCTTCTATCTCAGGACATTCTGTGATTCTAGTTGTTGCTTGTAAGATTTGTTAAAAAAGTTAACAGGTACTTAGGCAGGTGTAATAAATGAAAGTGTGCAGGTCACAGGCTGTGGAGGGGGAAGATGCTGTGGACTTTTTAGCATCTACAAATGGCAGCTTATGGTTTTGTCTGTGTGCTTAGTGTTTTACATATTAAGGAGTGTCGAGCATGAAAGTACTGCTTAACAACATTCAGTCTGGTTTTTAGTATCTAATCCACCAGGCCCAGTTAAGTGGGGAAGCAATAATCCTTGCCTACACTTGATGAATAGCACAGTCTAAACAAGGATTGACATGCTAATGAGGAGCTTAAGCAGCCGGGGTACAGAAACCCGAAAATTAACCTGAAATGACATGTACGTTTTCACAGTAAAAACAGAGCTTGCAGTGAGTTTACTGTGTCAGTGCCCGGATCTGTGCTCTGCCTCAAAAAGCCAAAGTGTCAGAACACTCACAGCTCCTGTGAAGCACATTTAATTATTAGAATTCAAGCGGAAAGAACTCCCTGAGCTCTGCTGTACCCACCTGAGGTGTGCTGGGCTTGTATATCACATGTATCATGTATCTGTTGGCTTTTGATATCACAGAGTTCTCATAAGGGGATTTGGAGACAATCACAATTTCTACTGCTTTTCCAGTTCCAAGTGGAAAAGGACAAAAATAATATTAATAGTGTCAAAATCGTAGTCTGAAGGATAACACTTGGTAGTTAGTTGAATTTTTATCTTGCAGATTAGCATGGGGATTAGCTAACTGATCTCTTTTTCTGCCTCCAAGTAAAAAAAGGGGTGAGGAATGCCAGCCAGAGGAAAGCTCATGTCACAGGTACAACTTGATCAAGGTGAGTGGCTTATTTGTCTCTGAAAGCTGAATGATTTCGATGACCCCCCCTAATGTGGAACTGGTCTGCTCACCCAGATCTTTGATGGGAAAAGGTCTGGAAATGGCTGCCTGGAAGCAGTTTGTCAGCTCAAACACTGTCATGCCCATATGTTATAGGGAACTGATTGGTCACCGAGTTCCTGCTCTACTGTATCCCAGTGGCACAGGATTTTTTCCCCTAGACAGTAGTTAATAAATTCTCCTCTGCTGTTTATTTGCTCACTGAAAGTCTTTAATTGCATTAAAAGCCCTGGGGAATTTACTGTTCCCTATCATTTGCTGGGAACCATTAATCAGGGCTGCTTTGAGCTACAGTTCATAAAGGTAAATTAGAAGAGAACACAATACTAAGGCCCAATAATAATGTGTTTAGTGAACAGGGATAAGTTTGCAGCCTCTTGTTCTCCTGGGAAAACTACCTCATGGTGTTCATGTTCAAATTACCACGTTGTTGAAATGGAGGGTCCACAGAAAAATCTTTCACCGCACAGGAAAGAGTGAGCACTGCTTCCTACACTGAGCAGCTCAAAACCCAGTAAAGGTTCCAATTGAAGAGCAATCTATAACTCTGCCCTACTCTGTTTCCTGCAGTCACTTCCTTTTGCAGAGTCATTTCCTTTTGCACTATCCTTTTAGATACCAGGACTGTATTATGGAATTCCAAGTTTTCCTCCCACGCTGCCATCTGCAAAGGGAGGTTCAAAAGGACCATACTGGAAAATACATAAAGAACTGGGTTTTTTTTCCATAATTTGACTCCTGACCTACAGCCAGTGCCTGGCATGTAATTCCTCACTGTTCCTCTTACCTTTGTTAAAGGAATTAGTAGCCAGGTAGGGGGACAGGAGAGTGAGATCTGACTCAAGGATTCCAAGGAGGAAGAAAAGATACTTCAAGTCTTGGGGTTTTTTTTAATGATGTTACATGTTGTAAAGCATTTTAAAAGCTAATTCCTCTCAGAACTGGCTGCCCAATGGATAATTCTAGTGCAACAACCACTTCGGTTGTTATTCATTTTGTGCTCAGCTGCTCCTTTGTTTGACAAACAAACAGGGCCAAAGCTCTTTGATGGAGTTGGAGTTGGAGTGTCCTATAACCCAGATCTCACAGCACGGTGGGTTTGTTGTAGGTTCAGTTCTACACTTTCTCACACAGGAACTCCGCCTCATTCCATGCACTGATAAGAAGTGACATTCCTGAAGATGTTTTCTACATGTTTCCTGCTTGCCCTCCACTTTTCCACCCTTTGCTCTGCAGGCCTGAGCAGTTCTGGGATTTGGTGGCAAGGAAGAATTTGAAGAGTTTGGTTGATCCAAAGTTGGCATGGTGGGAACTGTACAGGCATTGGTCTGCTGGATGGTCTCAGAACAGGAAACTTCTATGAGAAACTCACAGTGATGTCATATTTTCCAAGGCACCATTATAAATTTGAATGTTTTTAAAACCTTGGAGTGACTCAGAAATCTGGCACTGTCCGAAGTACGAGCTTGGCTGGTTTGGGATGAGCATCTGCAGTGGGAGGAAGGACATTAGGAGTCCTCCTAATCCAGCTGAAGATGAATTTAAGGCACCAAGGTGGAAGAAAGAATCCATAAATGCCAGGTGCTGGATCAGAGCTCAGAAGTTTTATAACAACTAAAGGCCATGGATATAAAAGTTAGGATTAAAACACATTATATGATGTAATATGAGGACATATTATGGTAAAAAGCAAAAAAATCTTCATTATACTGTGCCACACACTAAATAGAATATTTTGCCCAATATATTTCTGCCCCACAACCCCACTTAAAATATAAAACATTTCTGGTATATAATCACTAAAGCATAATTAAGGAATTTATATGCGCATTTACATGAGAAGAGATTTTTCTCCCCGACACTGCCAGATTTCCCATGTCATTCCCAACAAATTTAATCCAGTTGCCAATTCATTGTACATCCTTTATATTCTGTGTGCAACATGCAAGGCACCTGCCTGTTATCCCGTGGATATGCAGACAAGGGAAACTGCAGTTCCAGAGTACTTATAAAGTGCTGAATAACCTGGAAAACAAGCCCCAGGCTATTCAATCAAAACAGTCTTCTTTCCCTGGAAAGAAGGAACAATTGTTACCTTAATGCTAACAACTACTTATAATAAGAAAACTAAGCACAGCAATGGAAACTGCTTGGTTTTGTTCTTAGGAGAAGCCAGGTGAGAAGATTTCTAGTACATCCCTGACTGTGGAACAACTGTAGGCTTTTAGATATTTATAATCTCCTGAAATGCCCCCATATTTATAAATGAACAAAGCAAGCCCCAAAAGCCCTGAGCCTTGTGTGGATTTATGCAGAAAGACAGAATGTGCATTTTAAGACAAAGGTTTTCAAGTGTTACAGGTCTTGAGACCCATCTCAATTAGAATAACCAGTCTCAAACTAGATGGAACAAACCCAAATTAATCAACCAAGTTTTGCTAATTCTCTAGTTTGTAACCTGAACCCGGCAGAGGCAGGAGAGAGCTTTGAACCACTTGTTCCTGTGCAAACCATGCTCACATCCAGAGTGCCTGGATCACTGGGACAGCAGCTGAGCAGCAGTGCTGGTGTTTACTGTGTGACCTTTTACAGCTGCCACGAAATGGCTCATCCCGCTCCCTTAGGGCCAGTTCAGACATTTGGTTTGGCTAGTGGAGCTGGCGGGAGGCTCAGGAATGCTTCAGGAATGGAATTTGGCTTTGCTCATCCTTTGGGCAGGGCAGCAGACAGAGGAGAAGGGGAAGAGGGGTTAAAAAATCCCACCCCTGCGTCTGTAGAGGCCAGATGTGGTGCAGTCAGGTAGGAGAGCCCAGCAGAGCCCAGAGCCCTGCTGTGCTGGTAAGGATGAGCAAGGGCAGTGAAGCACCAGACGGGCTAAGCCAGGCTGAGCAAAGAGAACACACCAAAATAGAGAGCAGTGGGTCAGTGCCCTTATCCTGCACTAATCCTGCCCTCACTGCAGAGAAACAGTGCCTGGTGAAGGGCTTGCTAAGAACTCCCAACTTTTCCAGCCCCAGAGAGGCACTGGGGAGGCCCTCAGCCTCAGGACCATCTCCAGTGCATCAGTTAGAGAAGATAACTCTCATATATATACACACAGAGATAACTTTGCTTCCAAAGAGCTTTCCTTGTTTGCTATAGGAGTGCCCGTGTTTGTGTGGTTACAGTGGTAACTCCTCACACAGCACCTCCAGGAGGATGTGGATATTCGGTAGAAGTTGAAGGTGCAACACACACTGATGTTGGTGTGATGTAAATCAGGATAAATCATGTTCCTCTGCATATGCTGATAACTGCTACGGATCACCACCATCACTGGAACACGGGAGAACCAGAGCGAGTCTCCCCCTTTAATACCAGTTTGTTCCCAAAATTCACAGTAAACAGCAACAACTGTCTATTAAACAGATGAACAGAGAATGTGCAGAGGGCCCTCATATTCTCTGCTGTGGGGTTTTGCAGTTTTTCAAGCTGGCTGTAACATGCAATGTGAGGAAAACAAATTCAAACCCTGAGGAGAAAAGTCAGCTTACGAATTGCAGCTGCCATTTGATAATCTTTATTCTAAGGGTGCAGCACCAATAACAAAGTAAAACAAGTCAACAGCTAAATGTGAAAGCATTTTCAGATTTGTAGACTCTCGAGAGCTTCAGATTTCTTTTTCTTCCCTCATTCAGGACGAAGTCCAAGACTTAAGTTTTGCAAAACTCAGAAATTTTATCTTTGAGTGTTTCAAATTGCATTTACTCAACAAAGTTTTAAAAGAATTTAGTCTTAATTTTTTCCAAAGAAAAATCTCTGGGATTCAGACTGTTGTGTCACTTTAAAAGTGACTTTAAAGTGACTTTGAAGTGTCACTTTAAATTTATCACTGGGAACAAAGACAATGTTACAACAACTTTATCTCCCTGAATGGTTCTCAATCACAAGAGTCATCAGGATCCAGCCAATGTTGCCTACTTGACATTTTTGACCAAAAAGGTGTTTTGAAATGTCCTGTCTCTCCAGACAAATTGCTACAGCCTTAAAAAGTCTGTGCACTGAGAATAGTGAAGCAACATGGAACAGTGCCTCTGGAATAACAAGAAGAAGGTGGGAGGAGGACACACAGCTGGAGTGAGGAGACTGAGATTTCTGTAGAGCCAAGGACGGGGCAATTAGAAGCTGATAGACATTTCTATAGGAGGTCAACTGAGCCAGAGAAGCTTCCAAGCAACGTGACTTTGGCCTCACATGCACATGAAGAACCAGAGAGATGGATGTACCTGTGTATCTTGTGATTCAGCTCACAAAGCTACTTAAGTAAATGGTCTATAATTTAAACTGAAAATCAGCATTTGTGAGAACAGCATCTTATCCTCCTGCAATTCTTTCCAGGCAGAATAATTTTCCAGGCTCAAAAATATTAAAAAAACATACATTAAAAAGAATGGCTACATCAGGTAACCACAGTAACCAACATTTACAAGTGAGCAACAAAGGAGTATGGAGGCTGTCCCAAATGCTGGTTTCTGAATTTACATTTTAAAGGATGGCTCCTTCCCTCATTGCCTGTGACTCATATATATACAAAGTTGTCTAAACAATTCAAGTAGCTTAGTGGACTTTCCCATACTATGTAACTTTGAGTTGCTTCCATGGAGCCTTTGCTTTCAGACTGAAGCTTTCCATGTTCACCCTTGGTAAATGGGACCTTCAAACTGAGTGGAGACACTCCAGAAGAGACCCATGGAGGAGGAGTTACACACAACTTAATTATGGACTCAGGTCTGGCTTGTTTTGTTCCAAGTAAATGATCTTTGTCAGGAAAGCAAGTTTAGTAAAACCAGATCTGCAGAGAGCATTCTCTAAAGAGGACTTAAAAATCACTGTAAATAAATAAGGGAAGAAAAAGAGGTGAACACATGGTGGCTGCAAAGACGTGTATATAAGAACATGTATGTTAGTTCTGCATATCCTAATGGAAAGATTACTTCTAAAATGTACCCAATTCTCACATCCAGCATTTTTACACTGTTAAAAATTTGGAGAGAGTTCAAAGTGATAACAAAGTGTCCAAGGCCAAAAGTAGGTCTAAGGAAAAGACTTCAGCCTTGGTAACTTATCCAAGAGAAGGTTGGGAAATGAATCTTGAGCTGAAAGTATTTACATAACAGAAGTCTTAAAAGAAAGCATTAGTTGTCTTTCTAAGAAAAAAGACTTTCTAATCACAATATCCTGTGCTTAGTAATGCTTGTTTTAACCCAGGGAATGATCGAGAGAGACCCTTGGAGAAATCTTGTTCTATTAAATACGGCATATAGATCATTAGCCTACTGATCTCAAGAGTTTTCATGGATCATCAGGATACGTATCATCACGGATTGCATCAAGGATACATGGGAGAGAGCCAGAGAAGTTACCTCCACAAGTGCTCCACTCTGCACTTGTATTAAACAGGTGGTACCTTCCCATTTAAAGCCTGGTACAAAGGTGGGTTCTGCCCCTTGATGTCTCTGGGACTGCACATGCCTAACAAGGGTGCTCTTGCTGTGCCACCCCTGGTAATCTTTCCTCAAACTAGTCATTTACAGCAGAATTCCAACTCTACCAGCTCCGGGAAATGTAAAAAACCAGGAAGTTATGGTGTAAGGAACCTCTAAAGTGCTTGGAAGTGTCTTGGTGGCACTATGCAGCCTCATGGTTTGAAAGAGCATTATGGTTTAGGCTGGGACAACAACAACAGAGACAACTGGTTATTTGCCTTGTGAGGACTGGAAATCATCCTGTCCAGTTCCAGACAGCACAAGGGTGATGTGGCTTTGACACAACTCATCTCTCAGCTCATCTCTGTTCCTTTTCTAAGCTGCTCTATTTATTCCACAACACACACCAAATTTTCATTGCTCGAGATACTCAGCTATATAATATCAGCTGTTATCAGCTGATATCAGTACAGTTCATCAAATGTTTCCTTTCCATTACAACTCTATTACAGTTGTCCTGGAATGTCTCAGAATAAACATGTACGTGTCTTATCTACCAAAGAACTTTGAACGTGTCTGTTGCTGTTGATCCCACAAATCGGTTTAGAGAGAACTAGCACTGACAAGTCTGTAAGTGCCCCAAATAGACAGCAAAAAAAAAATTATCAGCATGTTCATAACCTAATAATGAGTATGAAATATTTTTTTCCAGTGGTCTTCCAGCCATGCAGGGCAGCAGGAGGAATCTGTACTGATAGCAGCTGTGAGCACCTCTTGCTTTGTGCCACCAGGTCTGCTCCTCACCCCTTCACATTGCAGCTCCCCAAAGCAGGAGACCAAGAGAACTGTAAAATTACCTCACCTAGTGGGATGAACAATTGCTCCATTGAGCTGATCCTTACTCTGAATAAATTGGCAATCCCCACCACAGGATACAAGGAGAGTAACACACTGGGAGAACATCTGCCATCCCAACTGTGACCTGGAAGGGAACACGACCGTGAGTATTTGTGTTCAGTATGAGAAAAATGCTATGTCTGTGTTGTACTTCCATGGGGACTAACGAAGCCATGTGTCATCTGTGCTGCGTTATTCCTTCTGTTTTCTCTGCTTGGAAGGCCAGATGTTGCTAAACTGGGACCTGGCCATGTGGCTTCCAGTGAGGGAATGGTTGTTATTGCCTCTTGCCCTGCGAGATGGGATTTATTAAAACCAGGGGCACCTGTACTTGTCCACAGGTGAGCTGGAGATGAAGTGAACACAAGTAAAAGCTTTCAAGCCTGACTTCTACAGGATAACAAACCAGGAAAAGCTCTTGCTGTTTGTTTCCTTTGGGACTTACAGCCTCACTTCCAGGGAGGGCAAGGAATGGCTGGAAGACATAAACATGAGGTGGGAGGAAAAAAAAAAGAAAATAAATTTAAATATTTTCATAAAATCCCAGAATGGTTTGGGTTGAAAGGGACCTTGAAGCTCATCTTGTTCCAACTTCCTGCCACGGGCAGGGACACCTTCCACTATCCCAAGTTGCTCCAAGCCCTGTCCAACCTGGTCTTGGACACTTCCCAAATGAAGGTGAGCTGAAAAGAACTCTTGGTGATTATCTGGAAGCTTATGATGCTTTCAGGTACTGTGTGGGAAATTAGGTTTATACTTGTGTAAATGAATTGGAAGGGAGTGTCCCTGAGGGATACCCATCTGGCAAAACCCATTAAACCCAATTTACCTGTTGTGCAACGAACTTCACTGTAAGAAGAAACACAGGAGGTTCAGTAAAATGAAAGAGAAGCTGAATAGGTCTGTGGGTTTGTAAAGCCCTCAAACAAGGGAATACAATTAATAAAAATGATATCTGGTGGCATCTGCTGAGTCAGTAACATTCTGATTTATGAGCCTTCCCTGCTCATGGACACATCCAGGGATATGTCTGAATTTTAACCACAGGAAAACGCAGGAGCGAACAAACACGTGTAAAATTCCCAGTATAATTTTGGAGCTTTGGGAGCCTCACCGAAGCGTTGATGACAATGGTATGCCAGGTATGTATTACTGCATAAAGATGTTTATGTTCTGGAGCCTTTGTGTTTTCTTAACCTTTGAAATCAAACAGCTTGGGTAGCAAAAACTCAGTTGCCACAAGCCAGTGGCTGATGGGCAGGTGTGAAATGTGTTTTGAGAATGACTCAAGCCCAAAAGTAGACCAACGAAAACTACATTCTAGGTTAAAAAACATCAGGCAGTCACAGCAAGGTGCTATTTTAAAGAGCATTCTGTGATTTCAAATGGTATCTAAATCCCTAATGTCAATTCAATGCTAATTAAAATACCTTTCACAGACAGGAATCTGAATCTTTGTGAGAAAACAGGAGCAGGAGGGATTGACATTACCGTCCTATAAAGATGCAGTCTATCCTCTGCACCCTCCTCTGGTGTTTATTGTAGGTTAACTCCATCACGAACAATTACAATTCATTGTTTAAGAAATCAACATGCTAAATCTTGATTTTTAACTTCTTCACATGACTTTAAAATAATGTGCTTATAGTTGGAGGCAAATTAACGTGTCAAAGATGCCAGATAAATGTGGCAGTTGATCTACTCCAATAAATGCTTTTCATATTAATTAAATTCTCTGATGTAATAATTTTCCTGAGCTCCAAAATGGAAGAAATGAATACCAGTTGCAGAAGGTACAGATTTCCTATTCTTTAAAGATATGATGAGTCAAAGAACAGGATGCAGGGTTCAGAATTTCCCATCCCTTTGCAATCACTCCATTTTGCTGAACACTTGGCTTTGTCCCTCTGGTATTTCTATGACCTGAGTGTCATGAAAATGGGAGTATGTTGAGGATCCCAGAAAGTAAAATGTGGCTTACAGCTATAAAAACTACAGTTTTTCTTGACTATGGAGTTATTACTTTAATATGTTTTCAAATCTCCTCCCTAGGTAGCTTGCTAGTGGACCTTCAAAAAGAAAAAGTATGAGATTTTAGCAGGAAACAGTCTATTTATAAAGCATTTTATACATTTTCCCATTGTTTATGGTATCCAGTGATGAGTTTAAAAATATCATTTCCTTCCCTAACAATCTTGATTTTGCTCTTTGCTTTGATAATCCATAAGTAGCTGTGTGAGTATTTACACAGCATGCTTCAAACTAGGAGGATAAATTCTCTCATTATTCAAAAAAATATGGACACAGAAGGAAACAGGGATTCAGTTCCTCATAATGAATGAGGTTCCAGTGTTCTGTCTTCTGGATTGGGATTAATGGCAAATTACGTGCTTTTTTTAAATTTGCAAGCGCAATTTATATCAAAGCCACTGCATGTATTTCATGGTGACTCTTTGTTCTTTCTGAGGAGCAGATCAAGGGATTGATGTTTGATAAGGGAGTGGTCTTGATGTCAAAAATAAGCTTTTAGTGTTCTTGCAAGCATCTACCTAAGGATGGCTGAGTTACAAACCTCTTGAAAACTGTAGCTGCTGTATGCTTGGTAGCTTTGCAGAGACTCTGTAGAGCTAATAGCTATATTTTCTGTTCATTCCAAGTATTCCAAGTATTTTTTTTTATTTTGCTTCTTGGCTACAGTGACTGAAACGATTTTCCCTGAATGGCTTCTTTTGTCCATTTAGTCTTTGGTGACGGGGGGGCTTTTAGTACAGAGAATGTCTCTTCTGTCCTCTCAGCTAGTCATTGTCTGGCCATCACCAGAGGCACAGGCGATGCAGGGGAGGATGAAATGAGCTGGGGGTACCAACAGTAGGGATGGGGCACGCTGACAGACAGCCAGGGACACGGGCAAGTATCCCAGAAGCAGCTCTGTGGTCAGATTCCTTGAAGCTCCTCATCCTCCACTGTGTCCTCCCAGTCATGTGGCAGAGAAGCAACTCTGGCTTAACTCCATTCTAGGTGGGAGCAGGAGACAAGTTGTTGAGGAGCTTTAGGGGGAGAACAAGCAGTTGGGGGAGATCAGTGATCTCCATATCCCAAAATTACATGTTCCTAGCCTCCAGCTGGGCATCTAGGTTCAACTCTTCTGGCGTAACAGCAAACCCAACTGCAGCTTGCTCATCAAGACAAACTATTTACTTAGCAGGAGAAACACGAGCTCTGCTCATTCAAAACCCGTCATCCAAAAGACTGGCCTTCTCAACCGACTGTCACAGAAGCACCGGATGGTTTGGGTTGGAAGAGAGCTTTAAAGGTCATCCAGTCCTACCCCCTGCAGTGAGCAGGGATAACTTCCACTAGATCAGGTTGCTCAGAGCCGCATCCAACCTGAACCTTGAATGTTTCCTTGAAAGTCTCCTCCGTTAGATGGTTGATCTGACCTTGGATGAGCCCAAGGGCTAAGGAAGACCTTAGGCTAAGAGCATACAGCATGCAAAGCGTTACAGGTTTGTACAGGAAAAAGAAAGATCTAAAAGGTGGACTTCCCTAGAGAGACTGTACTTTTTACTTTTGTTTTTGAAAAGCAAAGGAAAGTTCATGAAAGTTAGGCTTAAAGAACATGAGACTTACAAAGGTGAGCTCTTATAATGAGGGAGACACTTGAATCAAGGTTGTTCTGAGAAGCCATCTTTTATGAAGAAACAAAGGGGTTTACAAATGATAGAACAGATATACCATTTACTATTAATAAAATAATGGTCATGGCAAGACTGATTGGCAGATGGTGCTATGAAGAGAGAGGCTGCGACCATAAGTTATAAAGAACTAACTGGGAAGAAAATTTCAACCCTGTTGGCACTGGGCAAAAGAAGTTATCTAGGTCTTTGTCGAAAACAATCTTGGGAATTATTCTGGAAGGTCAGGAAGGATATTTGTTAAACAACTTCACTGTGGTCACACAGGTCAACACCCTACATGGTGAGACACCCATGACCACCCCCAACACACACACTACATTTTATCAGGCTTGGAAGATAGTTCCACTGGGAATGTTTTGGTGTAAACAGCCTCAGCTGCTGCAAGGGAAGGACTTACATAGCTATGCAAGTCACTGAAGAACAGGACTCAGGCATGATCCAAGTGGATCTGGGTAAACGAGTCCTGCTCTTTACAGAGAGAATTTCACTGACATGTTGAAAACCTAATTATTGCTGGGTTTTTTTGGTGGCAGAGCATCCATCAGCAGACCCTGTAGTGCAAAGGTGAAGGTGGCTAAATACCCAGAGAATTTAGCATCTCTCTACTGTAAATTTAATGCCCTAGAGAAATAAATCTAATCCATTCCTCTGGCACACTTTCATCCATGCAGAGCTGGTGTACTGACTGGGAATGGGAGGGAGAAGGGAAGGGAAGTGCTGAGGAACCTCCCTTCTCCATGAGACCCACTGGACGTTTCCAGGCTGAATGCACTCATCCATGCATGGCCCTTTCCGAGCGGGAAAGATCTGAGATAGGCAAGGGGAGGGCCTGGAGAGGGGAAGGAAGTCTATTTTGGTCTGGCTCAGGTCCCTCTGATGTTACAGCCATGGTCTAACACAGACTGCAAGATGTGTGTTATTAAATTCAGCACAGGGCTAAACCACAGAATAAAAAGAGTGAAGATAACATATACAAATCTTATCTGCTAGGAATAAAAGATTACAAATTCAGCTCATATACATGAAAAAAGTTAAAAGGATGGGCTGTGTTTGAATCCACCATAGGAAGATGAAAAGCTGCACAGCCTTTCATGTTCTATTTTTGTTTTAGCATATTTTTCCCAACATTACAGTATTAATGAGAGAAAATGAGGCAACATCCCAGACCCACTTCAGAAAAGAGATAAAACAATCAGCTTATGTCTCTCATTTCTCCTGAGTTTGCAGAAACTTTTAAGATGCAGATTACCTCACATGAAGAGATTCAGAGGTAGATTTTTATTCACTTTTACAGCGACTACCCATGGTAGTCTACTACATGGTTGCTGTACAAGATTATTTAGGATAATATGCAAAAGAGTGACTAAGAAAAAGTTAAATAAACCATTTTATGAAACACCTTCTGATTTCATGGCTCTCTTTTTCAGTTCTATTTATAAGATTACAGTAACTTTCTGCTTCCATAAAATCACAATATAGATATAAATATTTAGTAACCAGTAAGATTCTGTGACTCATTCTGTACTTGAACCAATAATGGATGCCTCAGGTGTTTACCAAGTGATTTCACATAGTGTGCACACCTGTCCTTGGCTTTGGAAGAATTTCTCTAAGCAGGATGGCTTTAAGCCCTATTTTAATACAGAACTGCATCTCTGATGCTTTGTGACACCAATCCTACGCTGTGTTTGCCCCCAGCACACTGCTGGAGACTGTAGAGGGGTTTCTGTTCACATCCTGTAAAAGCATCTGAGTTTTGTCAACCAGCCTTTTTGAATTTGGATCTGAACTGTGTCAACCTAGCCTTTCTGAATTTTGACTCTTCTGCACTGACTCTTTGGTGGATCTGCTGATTCATTTGCTTTCTTTTTAGTCTTTTTGGCTATTTGGTGGCTGGGGAGTGGATGTCTGCTGCGATTACTGTTGTTTGGATTGTGTCCGCAGTGAGAACAGCAGTGGGGCCGGTGGGAAGCCCCTGCATGACAAAGAGCAGGGCAGGAAGCTGCTGGAAACTTCTTCCTAGGTTGCCCAAACCAGCCAGATTGTGACAAGTGACATTTCCTAAGCTTGCTTGGGTGGCTTCCCTATTTTAATTAAATTGACACACATGGAGCCACAAAGCTCTGATATCCCAGGCTGAAACTTCTGAGCAGTTTTCCTTAGCATTTTCCTTTCCCAAATGCACAAATGTTGTCTGTGAACAAATGCTGATGCTAAATAACTATGGGAAGACTGAAATTTAAAGTGAGTGCTGCACTGTGACTCTTACTAAAACCACTCTGGACCTCCTAAGACCCTAATGGGTCAAATATCTTGGTGCATAGGTGTGCTAGTGCTTGATTTGAGCTGCTGTAGAAGGACAGAGACCAATGGTGCTCTTAATTTGTAATTTCAACTTGCCTTGAGGGCACTCACCACATCCTTGCAATTTTTTTTTTTATCAAAAGGAAAGAAAACACTGCTTTTCTCATTCCTTTTTTTTTTTTTTTTTTTTTTTTTTCTAAAAGAGGTTTATTCTAAGAGTGAGACTGCCAACCTTGGGAGTTCTGGCCTTCTGAGAGCTGACAGAATTTCCTGTAAGAGTTGCTTTTATAAAAGCTGTTTCCTTTTTGTTGCTTTTCCTTTGTTGCAATTCTTCTGTTTGTTCTTACTCTCTCCCCACTTGTTCTTACTCATTTAACCTGCTCTGTACACTTATAAAAGAACAGAAAATAATAACATACTGATTTCTGCAGTTAACTTACAGTAACTATTAATTTATAGTTAATATCTGTGGATAAGGTTCATGACTGTGCTGTCTAAGCCCAGTCATGGGCTTAGAATATTTGTGTATATTCAACAATAACCTGTTGAATATACACAAATATTCCTATTCAACAGCTGGTTAACTGTAGGTGCCCATCCTATCAAACAGTCCTTCCTTCCTTTCATACCACTTCTGCCATGCAGGATGACTCACTCTGCTTCGTGGGAGTTTCCAGTTGTAACAATTTATTGACTAAGACATTTTTATAATTATTCACCCCATAAGCATTGCAAAGTCACAGAAGTTCTCCAGGTTCTGTGCTTTCAAGGCATAATTATTTTACATGAGGATGCTTTTTTCTGTGTTGGGAAGGAAGTGGGTGTGTTGGGAATATGCTGCAAGACTTTGACAGATTATTTTAGTAGGTAAGATATTAAAAGGAAAGCACAAGTCATGTATTTATAGGGATATGAGGCTTAATTCTAGTTTTAGATAAATGAGTGTAGGTTTCCCAATTGAAATATAACTGCATCACTTGATCGGAGTGCTTTAAGTATGTGTGTCAAGGTGAAATTGCATTAGGAGTATGGAGTGGATTTTAATGGCAAATATTAAATAGCAGCAGATATATTTTTCTCGGGTTTTATTAGAATCAGTACCCTGGAAATGACTGGGATGACTTCACATAAACTGTTGAGGATGGCCCTACATATGTGCTTTGAAATGTTGGGAAATTCTTAGTTAAAAAAAAATCAAAAAAGTTATTTGATTTTAGATAATAAAACTACCTTTAAACCCAAGAATTTTGCATGAGGCTGAATTTTTCCCATTATCTATGGGAACCTCTTACACATGGACAGACATCCTGTTGCTCCACTGAGTGGGATTTGTGGCAACACCCTTTGATCCCACTCAGAGTCCTTGCCCGCTTCTCACCTCTATCCTAATCCTTCCTTCCTTCACGATGAGCTGCTCCATGTGCAGCCTGTCCTGCTGTGTCCACTCCCAAGCAGACAGGCTGTTATTGAACCCAAGGAACATCAGCACGTTGTTCCCAGAGCTTCTGCCTTGATGGCATCGGCTCAGCGCTGCTTTCACAGTAGCTAGCTTGTTTTCAGAAACTAAGGAAAAGTGGGGGAAGTGGTGGAAATCAGACTTTCCACTGGAGATGTGCCATCCCAGCCTGAACAACAGGGATGCAGTGCTGACTGTAATGCACCACGTCCCTTCTGCTGGCGCTGGGGGTGTCTGGGGAGCCCGCAGCACAGACACTCAGCACAGCCACGTTAATGCTGTGTCGAGGAGGCAAAAAGAGGAGCCACCATGCTGGATGTGTGGCACCAAATGTAATACATCATCTCCCAGCAGCAGGATAATTTCCAGGTGTGCTGACCGGTACACGCCGTGCAGACCTTGTGAACAGTCCGGCACAGGCTCTTAAGGCAACAAGCAAAGGGTTGACTTCTGTAGGATACATGTGTTTACTTTAAAACAACAAAGTGCATTTTTTTCCCAGAAGAAATACAGACCGAATTTTTTTCAGTTCTTTTGGCTACATGCTGTATTCAAGCCTTCTCAGGATATAACCAAGTTTACAAAGCCTTTCCTTGACTCCCCTATCAATTTCTATCTCAAGGAGTAGTTTCCTGTTTCCTGAGCAGCCTTCTGGAGGCACTTTCTCCTGTAAAAGCAGCTTTATAGAATCATAGAATGGTTTGGGTTTTAATGAACCTTTTAAAGGCCATCAAGTCCAAGCCCTTGCCATGGGCGGGGATATTGTGACTTTACAGGATTCCTGGATTTTACACAATCATTATACAGTTCCTCAACCTGAAAAGTCACAGGAAGATCTGATGACAGCTAAAAGCCATAATGCAGTCTTTGGCCAGCTCTGACTGTGCCGATGCCTCTCAGCAGCCTGGAGATCTGGGTTTAGGCAAGGTAATAACCAAAAGTTCATTA